AAATAAAATAGTGAAAATATATGTATATATAAAACGCAATACTACTGCAGCGAGGCATATCCTTGAAGCCTCGCTCACGCAAAAGCGTGTGCACACTTTGACCTCATTTTGGGCAAACCAACCACCTCCCACCACCCACCACCCACCACGTTGAGTGTGTTTGCACAAGTTTCCTTTTTCTTTTTTTTTGTCGTGTGTGTGTTCGTTATAATGATATAAGCGTGTTAGTGTGTTAAGCACACACACCCACACCCCTACACACAAACACACACACACATGTATTATCAGCGTGGTACAGGAAGTGACTTAAATCAATAAGCTGGCCCATATCATCACTTAAACAGTTAAGCAGACTAAAAGTGTGTAAAACGCTTGCTTTTTACAATTTTAAGTGCAACACTCAATTTTGTATGCATTGCAAGTAATTAAGCCATTTACAGCCCGTTAATCAGTTAATAAAAATATATATATCAGCAAAACCAATCAATTGATTTAATCTATACATATATTTATATATGTGTGTGCCTGTGTGTGTGCAGTTTTTCAAAGTGTCATTAAAAAAAACGAGCGAAATTAAACAGCAATTTTATTTTTTTGATGTATCAATGCGAGTTATATATATACATATATGTAATTAAATATATATGTATGTAAATGACAATTTAAATGCTAATTTTTAGCTAATAAAATTGTCATATATTTGAAGTGATTAAAAATCAACTGCAAGTGAAAAATTAATTCCCAATCTTGCCAATAATTGATTTTTTATAGGTTTATTAACTGAAAATGTGAAATTATAAGTCGCATAAACCAATTTTATGCCCTGAAAATGGCAAAAATGTCTAATGAATTTGTGCAAAAATGTGGAATATCCGAACCCATAAATTATATAATAAAAATAGATACTTGAAATTCATATATAATAAATCTATGAATATTATAAATCAACTGTAAAATTGTAAACGGAAAACCTTCATCTAATTAACAACTGGCTTCAGGGTATCTCCCAGTCGAGCGCTCTCGAATGTCGCACTCTAACTCGATAAAGTCAAAAGTGGGCATTAATCTTAATTGAATCAAGTCAAGGTAAACAAATGTGAAAAGCTATGCAAATAAATAACATATAAATTGAATATTAGTTTTGTAGCGCAAAAATAAACAAAATTGCTGGCAAGACTTGCAAGTCAAATGCAAACAAAAATAAAATACAAAAATTCCAGAAATATTCAAGGAAGATTTATAAATAGAAAAAGCCAACTAGCAATTACGAAATTGCTTCTGAAACTATTGTGCCCGTAACGGAGTGTGTGTGTGCATAAATTGCTATTGAAAGTGCAACATATAATAAACTTCGACTATAAGAAGATGCAACAGGCTCTGTCAATGGCCAAGTTATGACATGGAAACAGGCTGCCGAGAAAGGGGGAGAGGTAAGCAGCTTGAAAGTCTTTGCTCTGTAATTATTTATGCCAGTAAGTATTATCATAATGGCCATAATAAAGGAAACTGTAGCATGTACACACTCAGAGGAAAAATCTACTGGAATTTAGAAATTCGGAACACTTTTGCCGCCAAGAGATCCTCACCTTATTATTTTGAAATAAAATGTTTGAAGTTTGTGTCTTTCTAAAAACAGATTTTGCATTTCTTAATGCAGTTTGGATTTTTCGAAAATGTAAATTGAAAACAATTAATTTCGGCTTAGATTTTCACTTTTTAGAAATGTATTTCTTTATTTCGAATTTCTAAAAGTGAAAGAAAAAAACACCACATTTTTGGAACTCTGTATTTTGGTCAAATCTTTCTAATTTTCAAAAAAACGTTCTCTTATATTTTGAAATATTTTTAGCAAGCTGAAAAATGTTATTATTTTTAGAGGGAATTTAATTTTAGGGCGTCTTACTAAATTTCAGGCCGATTCGTTTTTCAGAGTGCAGGAAGAGCTCTATGAAAAAATGCCTTGAACGTCAACCGCATTAATAAGTACTCAGCTGAATTTGCATAATTGGTTAGCTGTTGTTGTTGGCCAACTCTGGCTGTCTGTTAGCCAATGCACTCAACGTCATTTGGCTGTCAGCGTCAAATGGTCAAACAAACAACTTCATTACAAAGTATCTGCTGCTATGTGGTGCATGCAAGCAAATTAAACAATAATTATTTATACAAAAGACAACACACAAACACGCACACTCATACACACTCACACACACAGAACAACAACAAGAGACAATCGCACAAAAGTCGAGCGCTCAGCCAGCCGTGTAAATTTCATTTAATATTCTATGCGCTTGATGTGCTGTGCAGCTGTGTGTGTGTGTGTGTGTGTGTGTATATGTGTTTGTGTGTGTGTCTCAAAGTTGCATCAACTTTTGGCGAAATTCGAGAACTTGTTGTTTAATTTAATGGAATTGTCTTTGATGGCGACGCAGAACTTAACGCCATTAAATTATTATGGTGCTTGAAAATCATTTAATTTATTAGTGCAAATTGTTGGCACAGTGCAGCTTGACTATGTGAGCTATATATGTGCGTACATGTGCTAAGGAGAGCTTAACACAGATTGTGAAAGCGAATTATATTTCGGTTACGGTTCCCGTAAAGTTGATGAATTGATTTATATGTTTTTAAGTAACTTTCCTGTAACTGCTTTTTATATTAATATTGAATTTTCGTTATAATTTGGTTCCAATTTTATTATTTCAGTATTCATTTCCAATATATTACTATATGATCTGACAATATCATTCACAGTTGGTCACAGTTTGATTTCTGGAATTGCAAAAGTATTTTAATAATGTTACATAAATAAAAACAGACAGTTAGCGAATGTCAGCAAGCATCGGTTAGAGTTGCCAGACTGTGCAGCAGAAATCGGCCAGTCAGCAGTTCAAAAGTCAAACGGTCAGCAGTCGCAGCTGTCGTCAAGCAGCCGCCGTCAAAGAGAATCTGTGAGTCAGTCGCAACGATGAGATTAATTAAGTAAGTCAGTCAGCAGTTCAGCCAAGGGTGTAGACAAGGGCAGCCAGGGAGACATCTCAACTTTATAGAGATATATACTGGCAATGTCAGGTGTCCTCGATGATAGTCCAACTACTATAATGTAATGGAGTAATAACTCCATAGTTGACTATCAGATCTCAAACGGAAAATAAAATACTTTTTACCATATTCATTGAGCACTGTAGAAGGAAAAAAGCTCGAAGAAAAACTGATTTGAGCGACAGAGATGCCTTTTAAAGCTATTCTCAATTTACTTATCTAAATGCAGAGCAGCCAGGCTCTCCCTCTCACTCCCTCTCACTCGCCCTCTCTCCCTCTCACTCCCTCTCACTCGCCCTCTCTCCCTCTCTCTCTCTCTCTCTCTTTCTCTCTCCTTCTTTCTAGTCAACTATAATCCATAATCCATTTCTTGGGAGCTTCGTTAAACAATATATGCAGTTAGCCGCGCTCCTCTCATATGGGAAGTGCATGTGTGTGAGTGTGTGGGTGTGTGCGTGATGCCATTTGCTAACAAATACCAGCAGCAGCAGCAGCAGCAACGACGGAGTTTTCTGCGTCACTTAATATACAAATATCACTAAATATTTATACCCGCAAACACACACACACACAATGAAACACATGCACACTCTCACACACACACATACAGAGCTGCTGCAAATTTCCGTTACTGCATATTCCCACAGGCTTTCCCCTCACCATCAACGTCTTCTCTCTCTCTCTCTCTCTCTCTCTCTCTCTCTCGCTTGCAGCGCAATTCGTTCAATTTGAAGCAATCAAGTTATTTTAATTCATTACGCTTACGCGAGCAACACTTTGGAGACATGCAACACACAATACACACAACCCACAATGACACACAGGCCACGCCCTCTTGCGCCCATCCCTATGCATTTCTCGCGCTTATCATATATACGTATATTTGTGTGTGTGTGTTATTTGCATGTGTTTATATTACACACACACACACACGCACACACACACACGTATACAGACAAAATGTCAGACATCTGTCATTTAATTTAATTTGACTTCACTTGCTTTCATTTGTTCGCCTTTGTCTGCTCCTTCGCATTTGCCTTCGCTTCTGCCTTTTGCGTTCGTTCTCCTTTTGCCTTCCTCTTTCGCCGCCTATGAGCTTTTTTCCCAGCGAAGGCGTCGACGCCTGCCTTAAAACGTGCAATTTTCTGTACGGGCGTTGGTTGTGGGAGGGAGGCGGGGGGAGTTAACAGCGAGCTGTTTCTGTTGTTATAGCTGTTATTACTGCTCTTTTTGCCCGCTGTTGTTGTTGCTGCTGTTGGTGTTATTGTTGTTGTTGTGCGACGCACACACGCGCATAATTTAAAACGTTTTCCGTTGTTTGGCGGCAAATGGAGGAGGCAACGAAACGGGGCAAAACTTTGCCACATCGCGAACTGTGCACACACTCCACACTCAACACTAAGTTGTTGTTAAACATATCATATCAGCTAAGCAAAATGTAGATTTATAATGATAACTTTTAACAGTTTCAATAACATTAGTAGATCGTTGCATATTCATATAGATCAAAAAAGGCACCACTGAAAAATGCATTATTTATAATAATTATAAGGCTGTTAAGTCAACAGAACGTAAAGAAAGATAAATAAATTTTCTAATTTTTCATTGAAAATTAAAAAAAGAAATCAATGATTATTTCCATGGGAGCTATATGACATCGTTTTCCGATGCTGATGATTTTTTGTATAAATATTGAAAGCACATAGTGTATCATTATTAAGCAATTTCGTCCAAATAATTTCAAAACTTTTTATTAAATGTTCTTTAAGAAGTATTTTAAAATATAGATAAATCTGTGCTATAACTAAATAATATGTTTGCATTGCAAAGATTGTCTGAAATTTAACACAAGAAATCGAATTTCTTTGCTTGTCATTAGTGAAGATATATAAAACTAATTAATAGTTAATTAAAGCTGGAATAATCCTAGTTAATGTCGAATGCAAGTCTGATTTAGGTTATTGTAGTCGCTTCAGTTTGCCGGCTTGTTTTTGCAATATTTGTAGCTGCTTTGCGCGATGCTTGAGCTTCTTCTCGAGCCGACGCTTGAACTCCTGTTCCCGTACCATGATCTGCAGATCCTCGTAGCTGCAGGTTGCCATGCGTTGCTTCACCCTGGCAATCAGTTGGCCAGTTAACTGAATCTTCGTTTGGGAGACTTTGGCGAAATGAGTGCAGCGACGTTGCAACTCGGCACGATGCAAAAACAGAGCATAGCCAGTCCTTGCAGAAGATGATGATGAGGTTGTTGCTGCCATGACGATTGCTCAGTGAATGTGTAAGGATTGCCGGGGGACGTCCGTCTTTTATATCCTGCTCGGGCTGACCTGAATGCGCAATACCTGCCGGTTCCATTTTTTGGTGCCTGGATATTTTGCCTGGATCCACATGATTTTTCGTGCTCAACTCTTTGGGGTGTCGTATTTTTTGTTGTACCTGTTAAACTGTTATCGCAGCAGCAGCCTGTCCCCGCAGGTAGCAGCTGTGTTATCATCTGAAGTGCCACGTTTTCGGGCTACGTGTTGTGGCATTAATGCACTTTAGGCAAATCCTGCACATATGCAGGACACTCGCTGAATAAAAGTCGGCGTCTGCCTTCAGCAGGCCCCAAAAAGTTAGGTAAACTTTTAGCAAGAAACAAAAACTCAGCAGGCAAAACTTTGGCAAGCAAAATGCAATGGAAATTTTCTCGAAAGGGTCGAGGATACGCACATCCTGTTCCAGCTCGTGGCCTGACTGCTGGTCTCTTCTGGCATCAATAACTTGGCCAAAGACGTATCCTTGACATGACCACACAAAAACTTGACGCGTAATGTTCGCCTCCCCGTTCTCCCTCTCTTTTTCTCTTTTATCTCCCTGTCTCTCTTTTCTGCTACTGAGGTTTATTAATTTGCATGAACTTTGGCAATGCTCGTTTTTCATGCTGCAGGACATTGCCGTGCCGTGCCGTGCCCTGCCATGCAGGGTTGGGTTGGGTTTTTAGCCCCACAGCTAAGGCCGCAATTAAAAATTGCTTATGAAACGGAAATGTCTACAAAAAGGGGGAAATGGGATATCTAGCTACACCGTAAGAAATATGACTTTACATTCATAAAAGGCATGGGAAATAGGGTAAATATACAAGTAAATATTAATTGAGCTTGCATTTGAAATGTATATATTTATTCTAGAATTAAGCTACGTTTTTGATTGTAATTATAATCAGCAAATAATGAGATATATCATATATATCTATATATAATTTATTATTTAGGTAATTTAAGTAATCAAGCAATTCAATGAGAAACAGCCAATTTATTTAGCGTGCATTGGAATTCCAAGAAAAAGGGCCATTTTGAACGTTATGCAAAACTGACAAAAGTTTTTGGCCAAGAGCAAGAAACTTAATTTCCCATTTTATGCCATTTCCCTTTGACGTTTTGGCCATCAAGCCGTCAGTCACGCCTCCCGCTCCATATATACATACCTAAAACCGGTAACGCCCATCTGAGCATTTAGTGTAAACTCTTGCGCATCATTATTTTTAGATTTTTGACAGTTTTTTCCACGACGATAAGCTACTTGTAAATCAACTCAAGCTCAAGCTCAAGCTCAAACTCACACGCATCTTTGCAGCAACTTCTGCTGTCTATGTGTGTGTGTGTCTGTGTATATATGTCTGTGTGTGTGTGTGTGTGCTGTCACATTTCCGGCGGAAGTGTAAGCACAAAAGTTCGTTTTCGTTAAATGCCAGCAAGAAATGCAACGTCGCTTCATTTTCCAGCCAGACATCGACTGAGCATGAAGAGCATGATGATGTAAATGGGATTTATAGTGCGCCCTGACAATAGTAAACTGCTTTAGCACACACACCCACACACACCCATATACACACACACACACAGACACACTCATATATACAGCAAGTTTAACAAGTAGCTGAAATCATAAGCTGTGATAGCTCCTTTGTGCTTTGTCTGCTGTGACGAGCCAGCCAGTAAATTGCCTCACTGAATTTATAGTACAATTACCACAAATCTAATGAGCTCGAGGCATTCCCAAGCACTGACATTACTTAGGGGGGATATCAAGGGGGCAGGGTGGCAGCCGGCAGAGCGGCAGAGCGGGAGGCAGTCAGAACTCGCGCTGACAGCGCCATTTCTTATGTTGCATACTTCATCGGGCAGCGCGCAAAAACAGCAAAACAAATGTTGCGAGAGAAGGCACACTGTAAGATTTAAGAGCATAGCAGGTCCCATTTTAATTATAGATAGTAATTATAAGTATATTTAATTATAAACAGCCAAAAGAGGTTCGAAATGTCCTTAAAATTGTCATACCTTCATCAAGACTTTAACAATTTTGATTACGGTTGGGCCTTTTGATTAGGCCTACACTAATAATTGAAAATGTGATTCGGCGTCGACAATCAAATGACAATTTTCGTCCAGAGATAGCATTTGGGCATTAGTCTCACCATTCTACAGCTATAACTTTGTCGAAACTCAGCAGATCTTCAAAAGGTTTGGCCTGGAGATTAATCCGACACTCAAATTTGAAAACATAATTCTAGGTCGATAATCATGTGCTAATCTTAGCCACAAAATCTGTGTTTATTTATCGGTTTAAGCTTCCTAGAGCCACTCAAAACTTATCCGACTTTCAAAAGTAACCGCGTTCTGATCATCGTTTTACCATGAACCTAGGTTAAAAATTAAGTACAAATGGTTTCCCAAAACAAAAAAAGTCAAGACATTCCAGAAACATAACTTTCTCAAAACTTAATCAATTTTCAAAGTAAAGGCGTTTTGCTTATGGTCTTTAGATTAAAGTTACATTTATCAAAGTCATCTAATAATCTTAGCCACAAAATCTGCTTTTAACATATATATTTTTTCGACTTTCTCTAAACTCAAGCATTTTATTAAAGATTTACCCTCAAGATGAATCACTTTAAGATGTGTAATACTAACATGCATTTACTTTGCTCTTCTTGCAGTCTCGAGCAACACGCACAAACACAGAACTATCGCAGAATGCCGCAAGTGCTGTCTTCGCTGATGTTGCAGCAGCAGCTGTTGTTGTTGCTGCTACTGCTGCTGTGCCCCATTTGCCCAGTTTTGTGCTTAAGCCTGTCAAATGGCAGCGTTGTTGTGGGTTTGGGTGATGGGAACATTGCCGGCATTGTCAATCAGCCAACACTTGGCGTCGGCTTAGGTGCTGGTGGCAGCAACAACGGCAGCAGCGGTGCAGGTGGCGTTGGTGGCGGCGGCAGTGGTGCAAACATTGGTGCAAATCCAACAATTGGCGGCATTGGCGCTCAATCAAACAGCGAGTTGAGTGCGGGTGGCAACTCCGGCAACACTTTGGGCGCCATTGCCGGCAGCGGCGTTGGCGGCGGCATCGGCAGCAGCAGCGGCAACAACTCGGCACTGATGCAGGCACCCAAAGAGAAGCTGTACGAACGGTGCACGGGTCCCGGTGATCCTGGGCCGTGCAAGCAATACATCTACAAGTGGCGCTACGAGCCAACCACCGGCGAATGCACCACATTCATTTGGGGCGGCTGCGATGGCAATCCGCACAATCGCTTCAGCACCGAGGCCGAGTGCCTCTTCCACTGCATTGGCGGACCACGTAAGCGAATTGACGAAAAAACCCGCAGCTGAACTGGGCTGTCAATCAATTTTAATATGAACACAATTTTGTTTCCCACGTTTGCAGACACTTTGCCACCGTTTTTGCAGTCGACCACCCGTGAACCGAGCACCACAGAGTCAACGCTGACCAGCTACACACAATCGCCTGCCCAGTCACCGTTGGGCTACAGTGTGGGTGGCTTGGGTGGCAGTGGTGGTGGTGTTGGTAGTGCTGGTGGTGGTGGCATGGGGGTGGGTGTTGGCACTACGCCGGTGCCCATCGAGCAGCGTGGACCCGAGTTGACGTTTGCGGAAACGGGCCAGGACAAGACCTTCGTGTTCGCAAAAAACAACACGTTCATCCAAATGGACGGCGACATCATACAGACATTTCAATTACGGTGAGTGGGTGAGTGAGTGTGTCCTCAACAGATTCAACAGTCTGAACGGCCGACCGGGAACTGAAATTCAGTCGCCTCTTCGCTCGAAACGCTTACCTCAATTTCATTGTGCGGCATTTTTGAAGTCTTTTGCATTTTTCATGTCCCCACAAACCCCTATGCGAATCGAGCGTCATTTGCCAGATTTTTGGCTTTTTAGCTCAAAATGTATTTGATAACCAAAGAAAACCCAAAGAAAACACCGAGCCAACCAAACTTTGTTGGGTCTCTGAGACGAACCATGTTAAAGATCTAAATATTTTCTTAGTATGGTTTGGTGGACATTTCGTATATATTAAAAGGGTTGAAAAGCCATTTTGCTGGCATTCAAAATGGAAACTTCATTTTTAAAGCCTTTCTGAATTGAAATGTTTGGTGTTTATAATAGTTTTGCCCATTTTCAATAATAATTTTTGTTTAACTAATCATTTTTCAGCCATAATAATGTTATTTTTTTCTCTTTTAATAACAACGACAAAATAAAATTTTATCTAAAAGTAAAATGTTGAAAAATGTGGCAAAATTTTAATGATTATATTAATTGTATCCATTTGCAAGGTATAATAACGATTTATATTTAATAGCGATTTTTCTTCTATTTAAAATTTGAAATCGAATCAAAATAAATTGTTTTTTTTTTCTTTTTAAATAAAACCATAACCAAACCAAACCATAAATAAAACCATAAATGTTGAATTGAAAATTGTATGGTTTATAGTATTTTAACCTATTAAGCCGTGAACTTAACAGATAGAATGCGATAGTCGAGTGAGGATGAGTTATCCTGAACCAAGCTGTTAAATATGAGAGCCGATTAAAAGATAGATTCTGGATTTGCACACTCAATTATACATGCATGACTAGTTATGAAGTGGTCTCATTTTCATATCCGATTTGGCTTAAATGTTATCAGCTTATCAATATCAGTTAACAGTTTATCACTTGTATTGCTATCCGAAATCGATTTGTTTCCATATTCGTAAAATAAGGTCAGTTTAATAAACTTGATCTGACTATGTTTTATAAGAATTCGTATTCCAAATCTGTGCTTCCTTCTGAAAGTTACATTACATCGCCTTTAACTTTTTATAAAAATTGCGTTCCTTCTATAATAAAGCTAGTCACTTATATATATACATATATATTTGTCAGCATACTAGATCGTTCCGACTTATTCGTTCATGTTTGTGTCTTAGGAAACATAAAAAATGAAAACAAAAAACAACTACTTAACCCTAGGCAAACCCAGTTGCAAATTGCTGCTTTAGTGAGGTAAAAGCCTTAGTTTGTGGCAGAGTGTAGCAGGTGCAATTAGTGCAAATGTAGCCAGCTTCAACATATGGTTTCGGCAATTAAGTGTTTTAATAGTTATATGGCAGCTTCTAGGAACATGCTTGAAATTAAATTTTCTGCCCAATTGCAGCAGGACCTTTGCCAAAAACTTTGCAGCTGGGCACAAAATTTAAAATTCAATTTGGACAAAGCTTTTGCCATTTGCATATTAAATTAAGATAAAAAATATTATTTAAGCACACAAACACACACACACACACACAGAATAGGACACGTCCAGACTTGCAAGTCAAATAAAATTCATGCACAAGTTTGTGGCACAGAAGTTGTTATCATTGTTGGCAATTTTGGGCTGTAGTTTTAATTGTAACTCATGTTGTCGCCGGCAGACACACAGACAGACGGAAGCTGCCAACAAATAAATTTAACAGTCTGCCAGGCAGTAAGCTGACCTCTCTCTCACTATCTCGCCCTCTCTCTCTGTCTCTCTCTCTTTTATATTATATATGTAACTGCTTCTCTTTCTGTCATTTACAGACTCTGTCGTGAGATTTCATTTCAATTTCGGACAAGACTGCCGCATGGGCTGCTCGTCTATCACAACGTTAAGAATCCGGATCGCATTAATTTGGACCCCTATGCACTCTATGTGATTGTCGAGAAGGGTCAGCTAAAGGTTGTACATGTCTTTGGCAAGCATTCAACGAGCGTCACTGTGGGCGAGAGTCTAAATCGAGACGAATGGCATAGTGTTATGGTGAGTACAACACTACAAGCTGCCACATGCCCCATGCCCCATGCCACCTGGCTGTCTGTCTGTGCCTCGGCCTCGCCTGGCTGCCACATCCGCATTGCCTGCTGTCGCCTTTGACTTTGACTCCAGCTGCTGAGCTTCAAGTTTTTCACTTGTATGTGCTGTTCTGTTCTCCTTTCGACCTGCAGTTGAAATTTCATGTGCTAAGCGTTGTTTCTGTAATTGCTGCTGCTGATGCTGCTGCTATTGTTGTTGCTCTCACAGCGGGTATATCAAATAGGTCAAGCTGTTTGCCAAAACAGCTAAGTAGGTAGTCTATGGAGGGTTGTGACTCGGTAGTTCCTATAGTCTCTGAGATCGGTTTGCTTATATCAACTCCATTATTAATGCTCAGTTTTACATGTTTCCCATTACGTGTGCAACTCTTTATTATACCCCTTTTCCCATTTAAAATTAGTGCAGGGAATGCAAAAGTTTTGCACTGTAAAATCAATTAGCTAAAGTTCAAGTTTTTTAGGAAACAAGCAAGTCACTCAAGGGAATAATGATGCTGCCAGGGTATAAAAGTTAGTCGTATATAGACAGCCATATATATAGTCTTGATCACATTAAGGTGCATATACGTTCAGCAAGCAATTAGCAAGATTGCAATGCGTGTGTTTATGCATTGTTATTGTTGTTGTTACCATTATGGTTACTGGTGAACGCTTTATCAAAGTTTTCTAACAAAGCAAGCTGGTTGATTTATGAACGCTCCACTCTGTTAACTCACCTGCAAACGGACGTGCTGGTTCATTCAAAGTCCAGTTGTCTAGTAAGGACCTCCCACCATGTTTACCAGCATCATCATCAATAACCGACATCATCATCATCATCATCATCATAACCAGGTGAAGGAACAACAAGAAGCATTCAAATCGTTGCGTGTATTCATATTTAAAACAAACATATCCACTATACTAATCACACTCAGGCAGATGCCGGCAACTATAACACACACACACTCACTGGCACACACGCACACACACACACACTCGCACTCATAAATAACACGCAAATTCCTAATGAATTTCAGCTGATCCCTGCAATGTGCGCGCAGCAGTTGCAATTCATTTTCGTAGATTTTTCATGCGCAACAAACAAGCCACAACAACAACTACAAAAACTGCAAGAGCAGCCACAACAACAACAATTTATCGCACAGCGCTTGCAACTTCAATTCAGGACCAAAACGCATAAATTCATAAATTTTTATCATTTGTCTGTGTGGGTGTGGCTGTGTCTGAGTGTGTGTATATGTGTGTGATTGGGCGCGACTGCCACGCCCTCAGCTAGCTGGTTTATTGGTTTTATGCTCAATATCTTTCACATCCAACTCACTCTCTCTGTCTCTCTGTCTCTCTCTCTCTCTCTCTCTGTATGTGTTTGACTGGCGCACAGGTGCGCATCGATGTCCATGGGGCAAGATTAATTGCACGCGTCGACAATAGTCAGGAGGAGGTCTATCTGAAAGGTCTGAATCACGAGTACAACTACGGCGTCTCCACGAATCTGCCATCCGTGGTGCTGGTTGGAGGTGAGTGCTAAATCAATTGTGTGTGTCTGTGTATGTGGGAGTATGTGTGGGCCTCCAAATCTAGCTGCTGCTATTAAAGCCGGCACCTGATTCTATGAAACGTGCAAAAGCAATTGGAACACACACAAAAAAGTAGAACACATACAAAAAAATTTAAAAATCAAAAAGAAAAACGAAACGAAACGAAAAGACTGAAAATCAAATTTGCTCATTTGCCATTGAAATAGTTATTCTATGCATGTGTGTGTGTGTTTGTGTGTGTGTGTGTGTGTTTGTGACTTTCAAATCTGCTTCTGTATGCTATTTGAAAATTAAATTATTAAGCGCCGCACACAGAATGTAGAGCTCACAAAAGTTGATTGCAATCCGCATGAAAATCGAGCAAAAATTTGACTTTAAAAAAGTGTTATTTGGAAAAATGATTTTGATGCCTGGAAATTGTTGATCAAACTCTCAATAACATCGATTAATTGCGCTTCAACAGATTTTCAGCTTAAAATTGTATGATGCTGCATTCCTGCAGTTTTAAATAGTAATTGTGAAATTTAAAAAGGCTGGCCAACTAGTTTTGGTCATAAATAAAGTTGCTAACATGGCCACATTTTTTGGCCAACAACAAGAGCATCAACTTTTTTAATTAAACACTATTTAGGCGCCATCCAACTAAAACTTTTCAACTGCAAACAAAATTTTGTATTTCTATACAGCTAAGCTCAACTTAAGTCCGCTTGCAAATATTTTGCTCATGTTAATTAATCTTGTTTGTGTGTGTTTTGTGTGTGTTTTGTTGATAAACTATTTAGTATGAAACTCAAACCAGAAAAGATTAGAAAACTCTAATTCCAAATTTCAATTTCAATACACAGGTCTCTCGTCCGAGGAGAAGCTGCACGGCGTCAAATATATCACGGAATCGTTTGTCGGCTGCATCAGGAATGTGGTGCTCAGCTCTGGCAAGGCGGCATCCGATCTGCTGCCAATTGCACCACTGGTCGCCACCAAGCACGAGAATGTCAACGAGGGCTGCTCCGACATGTGCGACTCGAGGCACAATCTGTGCTTTGTCGGCTCCCATTGTATCAACCACTTTGCTGGCATCTCCTGCGACTGCTTCGGCACCCCCTACGAGGGCGAGCACTGTGACATTTACAGTGAGTACCAAAATGAATGCGAGTACGAGTATGATTGTGAGTGCGAGTATGAGTGCGTGTATAAGTGCACTTAGAAAAGAGAAATCGCCTTGAAATTTAGTAAACAGTACTACTTTTAGCTGGCTCAGCTTATAATGCAAGTCTGTTTCTGTTTTTCTGCTCATAATTCATGGGTTACACGAAGATGCCTAATTTATTGTGCTTTTTATGTGTCCAACACAGTCATATATATTATTTGTATTATTAGTTTGATTTTATAAATTTCAGTGTATGTGTTTTTTTTTACTAAGTGGGAGCATGTGTTTGTTTGGCCAGACAATGTCAGGAAGTCAGCAGTGTGAGGTCCTGCTGGCGCCATTTTGTTTTAATTATAAACTATGTTTGTTTGCTTGCGGTTAACCGCCTGTTCGTGCCTCCTACCTCGCAACTCCCCGGGAGCTTCAGCCCCGCTTGTAGTTTTCAAACACGCTAATGACCTGGCCATAAATTATGCAAAATAGTGTTTGACTTTTTGACTGCCGGGCACAAAATGTGTGCAAAATTAGTTTGTTGAGCTCTAAATATACTGACTGCCCTTTACCACACAAAATCCTCAACCATCCCCTCCCCCAAAGCTTCCATCTCTGCTCAGGCTGTCATTCGCCAGTTTGGCAGGCATTTAGTTAATGAGATAAAGATAATTCCATGCCACCATAATTCCAATTAAGTCACGCGAGCCCATTAAAAATGCCAGAGCCATTAAAAATTGAGCGGCTCATTTAAGTTTTTTTCTTTTTTGACATTGCACAATTAGAGGGAATGGGGAGGCTGTGTGACTAGGGTATATGCTATATACATTTTAAGCTGATTGAGGGATACTCTCGGATACACTAAATTGCTTAAAAATTAGTCTTTGTTTGCTAACTGAAAGTGGTGATTGAATTTGTATTTTTTTTAAAAAGAGCGTTGTTTGATATAGATCTTATTAGTATTCATGTGATAGAAAACTAAAAAATATAATATCTTCATTTTCAATTATTAATTCGTATAAATATAATATCCTCATTTCAAATAACTCATTTACTATACCGTCGCCTCAAAGTCAGCTGCTTTTGAATTATCTCAAATTCAGCTGACAACATTCCAAAAAGCGATTGTATAACAAAAAAAAGGTTTCTTCTAAGCTAAATAGCGTTTTTCCTCGAGATCCTTTCACTATATCGTAAATATAGTCTCATTTAATAACAGTAACCCCAAAGTCAGCTGCTCTTTCATTTTCTCAAATTCAGCTGGCAACATTCCAAAAACGAAACAAAAATAAAAAGTACTTAGTTTCGGTAGAAATTGTTCGTTAGAAAATTTGCATGGAAATATTGTGCAACAATGCGGCGAGAAACGTGCAGAATACTTGCTTGCAACAACGGCAGCAACTAATGAAAGCGCGAAACTGAAATTGAGGCAATGGACAGCTGCAAATTGCACAATTGCTGGCAGGGCAAACGGCATGTGGCAGCCATTTTGGAAATACGCGTCTGTCAAGGACAAATGGCGCCGTGACGTGTGCGACACTGATCACTATTACAGACAGAGTGAAAGAGATAGACAGAGGGAGAGACAGAGAGGGGGTATAGGTATATATGGCAAGTTGGAAGCAAATTGCACAGATGTAGTCGAGGAGCATGACCCCATCGTCGCCGAGGACCGCCCTCGAGGACCGATTGTCGTTAGCTGCATGTTGCAGTTGTCGACATTTTCGGTTGTTGTTGCTGCAACGCTGCAACGGAAACAGTGTCAGGCCATTAAAAGCGCAATGGAGGCGACAGCAACGCGAGGAGGAAGCTGCAGCAAGATACTCATACATGTAGGTAGCACGAGAACATGAATGTGCGACATAATCAAACGCAGACGCTTCTGTAATGCAATAACTAAAATGACAACCAACGGATGCTCTCTCTGTCAGTATGTCTGCCTGTCTGTCTGTGCAACAGCCAGAGCAGCAGGCGACAAGCACTGTCTGATATATTTCTCTCTCCCTTTCTCTCTCTCTCTCTCTCTCTCTTCTCATTTGCCCCCCACAAGTGTCAACGGTATGCGAACAGCGTGAAAATCATTAGCCCAACCATGAAATTCTCGAAACGCAACTGCCAGATTTTTGGTCTTTTTTTTTGCATAGTCCGGCATAAGCTCGGAACGAATCCCAACTCCCCCAAACCGGAGAAGGAGCAGCATCAGCAGCAGTAGCTGAGTGTGGTACACGCTGTCAAACGTGGTTTGCCCGGCTCTCAGCTCGACTCAACTCAACTTTGGTTCAGCTGTCAGTAGTCGGCTGGCAGACAACAGACAACCGAAATGCAACACAGTCAGAGACGGTTCAGTCTAGATTCAGACAGCATCAGCTTTCAGCTTTCAAGCTAACTTTTAGCGCTTTTCGAGGTACTTGTATATGAAAAAAGTATAAACTTTACTCAGACCTTTTTTAGGAAAGGTATCTTAATTACCTCTAATAGCACTTAAAATATGCACATATTACAAGCCATATTCATTTCATTAGAGCTGATTATCATCAACCATAATATAATATATATATTCTTTCCTTTTACTATACTATTAATAAAATTACGACAGCTTTCTGAAGTTGGGCTTGTTAAATATTCGCATACTCCTTGGTGAATAATTCTCATTTCTGGAATATATTCGATTCACTCTGTAGCAGTTCACTTTAAGGCAATGCTCGCGGATGCATTTTGACAGCACTGTTGGTTTGGCAACTCTGTTGTTTGTTGTTCTGACAACTCTGTTTGGCTGCGCAAAAATTTCATTTTAAAATGTCAGTGCAAAGCGCTTTTCTGCACAGCTGAAGTTCAAGTCAAAGTTGGCCAGTTGCAAAGCGACAAGCGGCAACAAATAATAGTCATATTACGGGTATTGTTGTTAATGTGGTTGTTGCTTTTCAATTCAAATGTTCCCACCAATTGGCCAAGAAGCCAATGCAACACGGCCAACAAGTGGAGCAGAATTTGCCCAAGAATCGCCTGCCCAATTTAAGGGCAAGCAGCTGGTGTATTGTGTGCTCCGTAAAAATAGTTCCAAGCTGCTCAATGTGAATATTTATCGGAACTTTAGGATCTGTAGCAAGAATGCCTGGATTGGAATAATGTGAACAGTTTAAAGGTGACGAAAAGCACGGCTGTCGTCCGATTAGTGTTAAGCCGACGTTGGACACGCACAACAGCTGAACTCCTCCAACCGTAGTAATCCGTGATAATAGCGCTCCTCTAGTGCATAGATATAACCGATATATGACCTTTGTCTGAACCCAATCTCCACCAGCTGCTAGGTTCCCTCCTGTACTTTGAGCTAGCTGTGAATGGTTATCATGGTATGGATAGCATCGTTATCCAACTCTACACCGATGTGAGTCCCGAAGTGCGCCTGGTCAGCGCTGATATTGATCTCCAGTCGCACAGATTCACGCGCATCTTTGCGGATCTGTGGATGGACTCTATCAGCATCACAGGATGCGATTAGGTAGGTAGGGAGTGACGTCTTGACGTGTGGCACGATTTTGGCACCAGGCATAGCAAGTTCAAGCGCTGCATTGATGTTGTCCAATGTGGTTTCCGCTAACAATCATTGCAACTCTAACTAAAGGTGGTCGGTCACCTTTATTGCGCTTACAAAATCTGTAGCATACTTTTCTGTGGCACTGTGCACACAATTCCAACAATTTGCCAGCATACAAATTATTAAGTATGCCTGCATTGCGTTATCGATGGGGCGTGGTCCCTATTCAACTCTCACGTGTGTGTGTGGAGTGTGTGTGGGGGTGTGTGTGTGTGGGTGTGTTGTGTAAATGTGTGTCAGATAAGCGGTTAGCACATTTCGTTGTCACTGCGGCCCCAAGCGTGCAAAGCGACAAAAAATGAGCAGATTTTTTAGGGGGTGTGCGTAGAGTGAACTAGTAGATACCCTGTTATTAGCTCTAAGTTCTTAATGAATTGTATTACTAATAATAAAAAAAACAACTATGTGTAAGTGTTTCTCTCTTTTATCTCTCTCTCGCGCTCTACCTTTCTCTCTGTACCTATCTATCGCTATCTGTAAATATCACTCTATTCCCTCTCTCTATCTATTTTTTTCATCTCCACTTCTCTCTCACCCTGTCTGTACCTCGCTCTATCTGTTTGTCTGTCTGTTTCACTCATTCTCTCTCGACTCTCTCGCTCTACCTTTTGCCATCTCTACCAACCTCTCTCTCCCTCTATCCGCACGTATCTCTCTCTGCCTGTACCTCTATCACAGCCTCTGCCTCTACCCCTCTCTCTCTCTCATTCTCATTCTGTCTCTTTCCATCTCCATCTCTCTCTCTCGTTCTTTCTCTTTCCCTGCCTTTACTCCTTTAAATCTGTTGCTGCTCAAAACTACCTAATATCCTTCCAAGCCCACTCATAGTGACAGGGTATAGAAAACGCAACATGCTTGACACTTTCGCACTCTATCCAAAAAGAGAGAGAGAAAGAAGTGGCGTGAAGCAGGGGGGCAATTGCAGGAAAGTTGCTCGCATAAACGCCTAGAGGCCAAACACAGTCATGGTGCACACAATATAATCTATTTCTGTGTCGACCCTCTCAACGTTTTTTGTATGCAATGCAGATAATGCAGCAGGCACAGAGCCTGCTTGCTGGTCAGCTAGCAAGGACATTGCTGAACCAGCGTGCACAGTGGTGCGAAAAAAAGTTAACTGAAGAAAAAAGCAAAACCCATATAACTGAAAAAGTTGTTTAAATTTACTTGGGTTTTTGTGGCAAGCTGCGAACGCAGCCAGCCAAGTGCAAATATGCCAACAGCTGAACTAAATGACAAAGTGGCAAAGTTGAAACGCTTTTAACTTATGCTTTAAGGCCAGTTGGAAAAGGACCTTTCACATGTCAGTAGTTTTTGAGATTTAGATAACACCGAAAGTGAAAAGGTTCAATTAAACAAATTGTGTCGAAATAGAAAAAGTTCACTTAAGTTAAAAACAGTCGCTGTTGGAAATTATATTTGAATATGTATGTAATTAGTTAGTCCGTCACACACGGCCGATGGACTTACAATAAGATTTATTGTAGCCAAGCAACTATATGGAGACATAGATCTAAGCTTTCCAGTACCATAACTTTGTCAAAACTCAACAAGTCTTCAAAACCGATGGCCCTTAGATTATGGTTTGACCTCTAGAATAATTCTACGTTGAAATTTGAAAACGAGATTATGGATCAAAATTAATGTAAAAATTATATTCTCAAAATGAATATATGGGTCTACACTTCAAAAAGTCTAACCTAATCAATATCAATCTTCTACTCAATTTCCTGCTTAGCTGCCACAATAATTACATTGCGTGGTGCCAGTTATGTGTCGTATAGGATATACGATTGGAAGGATCGGGTGCACTCCTCAACGATACGCATCAGTTTGATGTTTCGCACCAACTTTGACGACTCGGCGCTCTTCTATGCGAGTGGAGAGGCACTGAAGCATCAGTATATTGCTGCCGCCATTCGCAATCAATCCATCCATGTGGAAATGGACTTTGGTGACGGTGTCATGTCCGCTACTCTAACGGACGACCTAACGCGTGGCTACTGGCACAACCTGACCATATTGCATGAGCAGCGCACAGTGCGAATTATACTCGATCAACAGCAGAAAATTCTCGAGCTGCCAGCCACTGTTAGCGCAAATTTACTATTCGACCCGGAAATCTACTTTGGCGGAGGTCCCGAGTTGAACAAGAAGAAGGGTCTCGTCTCGCACAACAATTTTGTGGGCAGCCTAAAGTATGTCTACTACAATGACATTTCCATATTGTACGAACTGCAACGTGGCAATCCAAAGGTGCACTATCATGGTGAGTGTTTTCCAAGACCAAGACATAAGAGAAGCGAGAAGAAAAGGAGGTGAATGCGACAGCATCTAAGTGAGAAATCCACTAGAACAGAAAATAGAAATTTGTGTATTGTGTCTTTTCATCACTTTTGAATACCCTTGCAGTGAATATGTGTTATTTTTATATTAAATATGGATGCTTTATTTTATTTTTAAAATTCAATTATAACTAACCTATTCATTTTTAATTTCTTATCATTTAAAGTTAAATTTAATTTCTGCTTGGCTTTTTCTGGGTTTCTGCAATACGTTTATTGTATTTAAATACCCCTTTGATTTATTACAATTTATTTTAATTTATTACTATTATTTGATTTATTATAATTTATTTTACAATTAAATTCAATTATTCAATTTGAATTTTGTGCCATTTAATTTGTATCTTTAATTTGGATCTTTAAGTTCTTATAAACTTTATTAATATTCATGGATTGGTTTTAATCCACATGTAAACATATCAACTGTCTGTGTCTGTTTCTATAGGAGCTAATCTGCTGCAATATTCATGTATATAAATCCATTCTCAAACTTACCTTTTAATGTAGTAAACTGTATAAGTGAGGAACATTTTGCTACAAGTGATATGTTAAATTCGGCGTGCCGAAAAGTTAGCTTTGGTTTCCAGAATTCGTTGCTATGGTTAAGGAATTTACTAGAGCTAAACATTTGCATATTCTCGATTTTGCTACATGCTCGTTGCAGGTGTGCTGGAGGCGGAGTTCTTTGAGAATGAAGTGAATGTCATACCCATCACCTATCCCTTTGCGACATCACACATTTGGTGGCCCATAAATCACGCCCAAGAATTTAATATTAAATTCGATTTCCGCAGCAGTCGACCCGGCGCAGTGTTGGCCTACAGTGACGTCACGACCAGTGCCGGAAACGGCTTCTGGGAGGTAAGTGTGCGTTCAACCATTCAAGCATACACATATTCCACCCAGCTTATACACACACACACGTATGTGAGTGTGTGTGTGTGTGTGAGTGAGTATGTGTGTTTTTGGACTGGTCGTAGCAGGAATAAAGCAGGTTGACGTCGACAGCGACAGCAATTTGCAGCGTGTGCTTAAGACGACTTAGCAAACGATGTTTTGGAACCAGGCGAAATGCAAATCAAATGTACACACATTTCTCTGTGTGTGTGCGTGTGTCTCTGCTGGTGTGGGCAATGCAGCTATGTGCGTGTGTGGTTGGCCGTTAGCGAAATTGCAGCTGGCTCATTCCGCAATATAGTTTCTCTTGGGAAATTGCAGACTGCTTCAAATGTATATAATTTGCATATTTGTTATTTTATTTTTTTATTGTCTAAAAAAAGTTGCGGTCATTTTAATTGAAAACATAAATTGCTTGTGTGCCATATTCATTGGAGCTAATGCTAAAGCGAGCTAGTTAAATTTCTAATTATAAACAACGTTATAAAACAAAAACAATGCTAATCGAAATAATTAAAATTGATATTAAAACAATATTTTAAAACAAAATGCGATAAACTCAATATTATCAAAGCAGAAAAACTTTACACACACAAAAAAAAATTAAATTTATATAATTTTAGTTTGAATATTTTACATTTTTAAATTTATAGATCTTCAGCTCACTTTTTTTTGATTCAGGGATATTTTTCATTCGTTAAGTCTAAAATTAAAAGTAGCATCACATGAAAATAATAAAAATTGATATTCAGAATAATCTACGAAGTAACTTGAGCTCTTCTTTTTCACATGTTTCTCTCTCTCTAAAGTTATAGAATTTTAATTGGTATATACTCACTTATTTATTTTATTCAACGATTATTTCCTTCGTTAAAGTTGAAATAAAGAAGTTTAGAAACATTATAATCCATAAGCTCAGATAAATGAGTTCTTATCAAATGCAATTAAATTTGAGACTCGGAATAAGCAATAAAGTAACTTCAACTTACATTTTTTTCATATCTCTCTCTTTGTCTTTGTCACAATTTTATATTTTGTGTTATCTGATTCAGTTTGCTTCAATCGGATTTACGACATTGGTGCAACAATTTAGAACAAAAATATGATGCATTTATTGTGATTGCGAAATCTAAATTGGACAATGCCAATGAATGAATTTCTTGCATATTGGTTGTTCGTTACAAAAACAGACCTCAACATCTTTATGCCACTCAACGAGAGCCCACACAGAAGCAGCAACAGCTTACAGATACTTGCCACACACACACACACACCGGCACTTGCAACATGTATTTGTGTATGTGTATAAATGTCAGTGGCATTTATCTATATTTAAACAAACAAACGTCCTGGCCTCCAAAGTTTATTTGGTCACTTGACATTTTGAAAACTCACTAAGGACATAAGCATACACACACAAAACAACACGCACACAAACACACACACACACACTCACACACTGTTATTCACATAACACATGTGTGTGTTGTGGATGCAGTGTGTGCAATATTTATTTGCATTTTATTGTTGACTTTCTTGCTTTTGATTGCAAGGTTGCCTGCCTCTCCCTCAAAAATAAACTAAATTGTCAATAGAACTCTACTCAAAGGAGGAGGGAGGATGGCCGAGTTGAGTGCTGAAGGTAAAACAAATTGCTGGCCAACTCGTAAAATGTTGTAATAGCAATGAATATTTATGCTCGAAAGCCGTTTAATTTTCAATTTGGCTTTTCGGGTTATTGAAATTGTCGGCCGGATTTATAGTCCATAGCCACAAAGTTAATACGAAATTGATTGCCACATATGCCCCAAGAAAAAAAGTCAGAAATGTTAATCATATTTTGCGTCACAAATGGCAATTGGACAAATGTTGTGATAAGCACATCAAATACGCAAATACTCAAATATTCCTCAAATACTCGTTTATACAATATCCAATTTATATACAATTTACCATTTAAATGCACAGTATTTATTTTGTGTGTATTCTGTGTCACTTTTAGGCACATGCATATTTGAAGAACGCGTCAGTTATCTGGCGGCAGTGCACTTTATTTTATTATTTATTTATTTACCAACCGTTTGTCGATCTGGCCACAAAATTACCACCTACGCGATTTGCGTAACATTTTGCCAAACTAATAAATATGCCCAGAGTGAAATTCAAAATGGCTACGAAAACAAATAAAAAAAAGGCAGCTTCGACTGTCAGCTCAAATAATTGACAATGGGCGGTGTGTCAAATATAAACTATAATTCGCATATCGAAAATCGAATTTATTGTCAGTCGAAAACAGTCAAAAAACAATGGCATCAAATAAAAACCATTTGAAATAATGTCAGTAAGGGTGTGTGTGAGTGTGTGTGTTGGTTTGTGTGTACGTGTGTACTATTTGCCTTAAAATATAACACGCTGCCAAAAGTCTAATGAAATATGCAATAAAATTTGAGTATTTGGCATTTGGAATAAAAGCGACAGGCCGTTCGGCCGTCCCAAAAGCGGAATTTACAATCAGCAGTAAACAAAAATAAAAGCAAACAAGTTAGAATGCGCCAGTCGAGAGTGCTCGACTGCAAGATATCTATTAAATAGATAGCAGACTTGCTTAAAGTAATTTGTTCAATATCTTTAGTCTATCATATTCATACAGACTGAGAGACTAACAAAATTAAATCGACTTGAGTATTCAGCCTGATCAATAATATATGTATGTACTTGATGTAGCTACTTCCCACTGCCTGTTGCCAACTTTACCACAACTTCATTATACCCTCTCAACCAATTTAAATCTGTTGAGTACATAATAAACACAGCAACAGTATGTGCTGCACATATGCATATATTTATGCTTTAGCATTCTGGCTGTCAACTGGCTCAAGCTGACAGCCATTTAAAGATAAATATAAATGCGCACAACTCAGATACAAAAAAGGGCAACATGAAAAACTGTGGCACACACTTATAAATAGGGCTTAAGTTGTTAAGGCTGGTATTTAAGCGTTAAATACACACACATAAATTACACACAATTATGCAGCTCACTGAAATAGAGAAGAGAGCGGAAGTGAAGAGAGCGCCGCAGCATGTTTAATCGAATTGGGCATTGGTCGTGTCATAAATGCCACCATCTACTGCCACAATGCCACACCTACCCCACACACCACCCTCCCACTCGACAAATATGCTATTTTGTTTGGCTGGCTAACAATTTAACAGGCCCGCATTCGCCCAGATGCCCGTTTTGATGCATTCAATGCGCGACTACGCGGCGTATGCTTAATATGATTTAAGCGTTGCTAATGCACAAAGGCATTCCCCAAATTGAAATATACGCACGAATGTGCCTCTATCGATGTGTGTGAATGTCTGTGAGTGTGTGTGTGCTTGTGTGTATTGTGCTACAGACTTCTACACATTGCGAATATTGCTGGAATTTGACAATTTTGATTTATTTTTCCACACGCACACGCAGCTTGAACTTCTAATGCTAACAGAGTTTTGTATTTTTCCTGTCTATTTTACATGCGCTGCGTTTGCGATTCGATTGCGATGACAAAACTAATATTTGGCAATACGTTAATGCTGCGGATTGCGAATGATGCTGCGTGGCGGTGCGCCACCTGCTGCACACACACACTCACACACAACGTGCAACATCCGTTGACGACGCGATAAAACCGACAACTGCAAACCCCAAATCGAACTGTCGATTACATACAAACTCACTCCGCACTCCGCACACCAACACCAACACCCACACTCCGCACACACACAACGTGCACCGGAAATGTAAAACTAACGGAAATTACAAAATGGCTGCCGTCGTTTCCTGTGCCGCTGCAGATACGCTTAAGCTCAGACAAGCTAAGCTTTGATCTGGTGCCCGATGCTAACAACAATGTGACCCATTCGACAACAATCAAAATCAATCGTGCCACCAGCTGGCACAGCGTCGAGCTGGATTACAAACAGGACGAGATCCGCTTCACCGTCGACTATCGTCACACTCTCAGTCAGATGTACGGATTGACCTTTAACATTGGCGACAAACTGATCATTGGCAGTAGTCTCAAGTCGGCCGCATTAGGTTTAGTTGGCTGTATTCGGGATATCGAGATTAATGGGCATCTAATTGAGCCGCGGCATGTGGTGAAAACGGAGCGAGTTGTCGGCGAGGTGGCTTTGGATAATTGCAACTATATTGATCCGTGCAAGCGACCCAATACCTGTGAACATGGCGGCAAGTGTTTTGTGAAAGATGATCGCGTCACCTGCGATTGCAAACACACCGGGTATATTGGCAAGAATTGTCACTTTACCAAGTATCGGAAGACGTGCGAGGAACTCGCCCTGCTCGGCTTCACCAAGTCCGATGTGTATCTCATCGATATCGATGGCAATGGTGTCTTTCCGCCCGCTCACGTCAAGTGCGACTTTCAGAGTCTCGAGAATGCGACGAAAACCATTGTCGAACACAATCTGCCCAGTCAGGTGGATGTGCGTTCCGCTCGAGAATCGGACTTCAGTTTCAACATACGCTACAGGGAGTTCTCGCCGCACATGTTGCAGGAGCTGATCTCGCATTCGCTCTACTGCACACAGTACATCAAATACGATTGTTATCGCGCCCAGCTAGAATTGCATTCGTCCACTTGGTTCACATCCTCGGCAAAGAATCTCACCGTTGATTTTCTCGGCAATGTCAAGAGGTAAGCGATTTCAGTCAGTCAGACGGTAAACCAAACAAGTCAAATGTCATTTCGTGGACCTTTTGTGATATACTCGCGAACGCGTGCCATCAAAATGACAGTGGTAGAGATAGGTTAAAGAGTGGAAGTGCTTTTACTATCAAATGCAGTTGTGTAATTTCTTGTTTTCTTTTACTGGATAAGCAATGCATTATTGCATTGAGCGAGTAAATCTTGCTAAAAAGTACAAAATATTACAGTTTCTGCTTCGATTATATATGTTATGAAAAATGTGGCAATGTCGCAAAACCTAGAAAATTCATTCAAATTTTACCATTTTATATATGTCCACAAGGACTTCCCTTATTCAGATAATATTATAATATTAATTATAGTCACTTAATTTGGCTTGTCTTAATTTCCCTTGCCAGCAATCCGATTTTATGACAGTGTACATTTAATTTTTGTCTTACTCTTGAGCATTTTTGAACCACTGTGCGCCTGTATTCGGCACATGTCTAGTTCTATCCTGCTCCCTAATGCATCTGCTGCTGCTGCTCGGTCCACCGCATGCCACACAATTAATGTTGCAGTCTATTTGCTTAACTTGTTGGTCTAGGCAGCAACTATGCATTGTGTGTGCATGTTGTGTGTGTGTGTGTCTGTGTGTGGCTACAGTTCTGCTCCAGTGGATGACGAGCTCTCTCTCTTTCTCTTTCTCTCTTTCTGTTTCCCACCTCTTTCTGTCGCCCTCTTTGCGTACGTGCGGTTATCCAAGAGTATAAATCCTTCAATTCAAACTGCTGGCAGTTTGGGGCAATTGCATAGTTGATGGTTGCAACGACTGCTAACCCAACCAAAGCAGCATTCACACCTCACCCCAACCCACACCCTCCCACCAAACTACCGTCGCCACCCACTGGCATTTGATATGTAAACGAAACTTAAATTAATTGCTCGAACATGCATAATATAGGCGCCTGGGCATACCCTTAATGCTAACTGACGTATTTATTCGCACGGGAAGGCTGCACACAGACCTGTGTGGCACAACACACACACACACACACACATAGAACAGCTCCCTTTCATAATGCTTCGATTTGCGTACATTTGTGTCAGCTGCAACAACAACTTGCAACCAGTGGAGGCATCAACTTGCAGGCCACGTCTACAATTGTCATCTTTATGCCAATGCCTATTTGCAGCTGAATGTGTGTGTGTGTGTGTGTGAGTGCCTGCTTGCCAGTTGTGTCATTTGTCATGCTGCTTGGCCTGCTGACCAATACAATCAAGTGTCTGCTGCCTGCTGTTTGTTGAGCTCTTCAAATTTGATTTTTCATATGTGCAGCACAAAACACAGAAACTGTTGCCGACTTCTGCTTGGCAGAAGCCCCACTCCCCCTCCACACCTCCGCCCCCCTCTTGGGCTTAAGTTATATGTGCGGCATTTGTTTCTATTCATTGGAGCATAACATTTTATGACGCTGAAACCCAAGCGAATGTTGCACAACCACCCCAAAATGAGAGCAAAGCCGATTAAGCAGTACTCTGTCCATATTAGTATTTATTTTTGGAAAATTTCTAATATCTACACACAAGTTGTAAGTTGAACTTTTAAACTGTTTAAAAGTCCATAATCAATTTTATTGAAATCGAAGCCGTCAAAGCGAAACAACTTTTAATGGTCTGAAAAAGTATCAGTTTCATCTGAAAAAAGAAAGGCGCAACACACACTTTATGCCCAATTGGAAGTTGGAAATAAAAGGGCACAACGAAAAATTTATGGCAAAAACCAAAGTAAAACATATGAAGCAAAATATAAAATTGCAAAAGTGCAAAACAAGAACGCACACAGATATATGTATAGAGATATGGGCATAAAAGGCAGAGTTGTATTTATGTCGGGCAAATATGTTTCCGGCTCAGCGCTAATAAGGTTTATGACTAAGCCCCAATTGTGTGCATGTGTGTGTGTGAGTGTGTGTGAGTGTGCGTGTGTGTGAGTGTGTGTGTGTTGCCGCCATATTGTCGAACAACTCTTTTTCAACTTTTGCTTGGTAATTTTTCTTATGGCTGCCTTTTTAAAATGAATGGCTTTACGCACAAATTTAGTCTTTACGCCTAATTTCTTTGCCGCCTAAGCCCCACACAAAAAAAAAACAAAAAAAACCTCATACAGAGATGAAAGAGTGAAAGTGTGAAAGGCAGAGTAAACGGGTGTATTGAGGGGGGCAAGGGGGCAAGAGGACTCTGACAATACATCATGCGCAGCAAAGTAGGCAACAGCTGCTGGCAGCAATTTAAAATTGCCTTCTTTTTTGGCCAAACCCCTTTTTGCTGCTGCTGATGTTGTTTGTGTTCGGCTTGCCTCACTAATTTCCGCTTTCACTAAATCAATTCGAGAGCCTAAACAGCAGTTGTCTTTTTTTTTTTACTTTTTGTTTTTCTTTTTGTTTTTTGGTTTATAGTGCGGATCTGCTTTTAAACGAATGGCGTTCTGCTTGGCTAGGAATATCAAAATGCGCTTTAGCACAATTCCAAACACAAAATTCATTTATGCGTGTGGTGTGGTGTGTCTGTGTGTGTATATATATGAGTGTGTGGGAGTGTGTGCTCATATAGTCCAGCCAAAGTCTAACAAAAGAAGCAGCAGCAGCCATAAAAAGCTGGATAAGTCGAAGATTAAACACCCTTGTAGATCGTAGTCAAATTGCAGACTTTTAGCTTTTACAACAAATTTAAAAAACCCATTGAAAGCTATATGATATTGAAGTCCGGTGTTAACATGTAAGCAATTGCCTTGGATATCTTGATACTGTTTATCAATTTTTCATAGAAGAATTCACATTTAGACCGATTATTCTTTTTTGAGGTATATAGTTGTCTGATATTGAAGATTTATTATCCAAATCCTGGAAGCGTAATAGCTAATGAGTTTGGTTAGGTTAACTTGAGAAATATATAAGTTCTTCATGCTCACATGATGCAGATCAAGAATACTTTATAGGCTCGAAGTCATCTTCCTTACAAACCTCACGGCATAGTTAGAAAACCCTTTACAAGGGTTTAAAATATAGTGAAACCGAAACAAAAACAAAAAAAAACAAAAAAACGAGTTAACTCTTTCGATTTTTTTTTTTTTCTGCACATTTTTTTGGTTTTACGTGAGTTTTGCGAACTGGCAGGCAACCCATTGAGCCATCCATCATTGGATTGTAGTTTGGTCTTTACTCATTCAAAATTTGACAGCATCGTTTGTTTTTGCTGTTGCTGTTGCTGTTGCTGCTGCTGCCGCTGTTGCTGCTACTGTGGTCTACCCCCTTTCTATAACATTTACTACTAAACTCACTTCTGGCTTTGGAGTCAGCTCTGGGTTGTGCCTGGGTCACATTCCTGATGTGCCGCTCGGTTGTCTATGCTTGCAACGCTGAAGCGGAAACGGATGTCGCGCATGCATTGCCAAACCGCATACGCACATGAGCCACAACCACACAAAAGCCACAGAGACGAGTAATATTATGGCTGGCAGCAATACTCTGCACTTTTTCGATTAAATTAAACCCGCATTTCAAAGCCGTATAACTAATGAAAGCGGCAAGGAGCAAAATCGCAAAACCACACTTAAATTTAGTCCATTGAAACCATTAAATACTTTATGTGAAGTATTAAAATCAATGATCGTAAATTCTGTTTAAGACATAAGAGCTTTTCAATAATGGAAGTCAAGGAAAGATGAAGTGCTAAACACAGCTGCCTTTTCTAGGAAATCAAACAGAATCTCTTTAAAGGAGAATGCATCAGAATCACGTCTAGAAACAACTCTTTGCAAACTTTTCTACTTCTCTTAAATGAATTCCTCAAATTAATGTATAGTTAATCTGATGATTATGTATATATCTTAAGGGTATCGTTTTGTCATTATAAAATAATATTTTCAGCAAAAGAAACAATTCTAGAAGCACTTCTACAACAAATGCCAAAAAACAAGCCAAGCATATGAACTAAAAAGGCAAATGCAATTAAAAATACAATTCTTTTATAGTAATTACCATACTCAACAAGTAATTACAAAATTTTAAGTATACTGCAAGCTCCCCTTAATAATTGCCATGTTACAAACTGGTTGTAATAGACAATAGATCCGCTTAAAGCTCTCCACGGCACTTATAAATGGCACAACAAAAATGCCGACAATAAATCGCCAAAAGAAATGCCCCAAACCAAGTGGTATCCGCTCAACCCCTCGCCACCCCTCCACCCACAGCCCCATTCGCTTAAAGTGGACTCGTCAAATTGCCGGCAGCTCTGTCGACAGAGTCGCCTCCAAATAGATGCAAATGTATGCAAGCCGTGGCTACTTGTTTTTTGGAATACCTTTCACCTTTTTTATACAACCTCTCTCCCCCCTCTCTCTCTCTCTCTCTCTCTGTCTCTCTGTCTCTGTATCCCTCTCTCTCCATCTCTATGTATATGGCGATCCGGTCACAGAGGCGCTTGCCCGTGCTCCGTTAACAAGACTTGCGTGGACCCGAATCAATCATGCAACTGCGATGTGAAGGAGAACAAATGGAATTCGGACGAGGGCTACTATCAGGAACCGCACAGTTTGGGCATCACCAACATGTATTTCCTGCAGCAGAAGGACCTCGACGACGAGGCCCAGGGACGCATTACACTCGGCCCCCTCGAATGCGTGGAGACAAGTGAGTTGCCAAACAACATCCCCATACAAAAGTAAATATCTCTTTGTTTTTGGGGGGAATACAGATACACAAAAGTATGTGGTTACCTTTACCACGTCGCAGTCGTATATTGAGGTGCCTGGCTGGCGAAAGGGCGATATTGCCTTCTCCTTTCGCACCACCGGCGAGAAGGCCATCTTACTCTTCCAGCCACCGATTCGGGCGCACTATCCCTCGTTCATGGTGGCGTTGACGGGTGACTATCAGCTGACGTTCAATTTCACGCTGAGCACCGGCACCACACGGGAACTGGTGATTAACTCCCATCGCAGGTGGGTCAAGTGTTTCACCCACCCATCCAGTGTACCCATCAATTAGCCATGGGAAACAAATAAAAATATATATATGTATGTATATCATATTGAATTGCTTGAATTGCAGGCTCAATGGCGGCGAATGGCATAAAATATGGATCGACTACAATCAATATCATGTGCGCTTCATGATAAACACCGATTACCAGATGCTCGACCTTCTGCCTGAGGAGGAGTTTGGCCCGTTTGAGGGCAGCATGTACATCGGTGGCGCCACATTGTAAGTACCAGCGACTTTAATACACTCAGAAAATCAAATCATACTGAATTCGAAATACTTTTAGTGTCAAGGGTAACTCACCTCACCTTATTATTGAGAAAGTATATTTCTAAAATCCAGGGTTTTTCTATTCAGTTCAGAATACAGTTCACTAATTTATAATCTCTATTTTGTAGAATAATGTTTTCTTATATGTAGAAGTTGTTTTTGACAACAAGAAAATCTTTCTAGTTTTTCCTACAATTCATGAGGATTTTTTTCTGAATGTACATGGATCTAATCAGCCCTGGCTTAGCCGCACTCCCAATCGTTTTTTATGGCTGCTTGCAACGCAGCAGCAGCTGTAATAATAACCGCAGTGCAAAAGCCAGCGAGCGTGCCTCAATTGGTCATTGCCCATTGGCCATTGCGGTCTGTGCAATTTATTGCCGCAATTACGTTTTAATTATAAACGCGCGACTAACAAAACTGGCAAACTGGCAGCAGCAAGCCAGCAACAGCAACTCTGTCGGTTGGCTGCAAAAGATACTCAAAGGCGTTCAGAATGTGACCCAAGGGCAACTCATTTCATGCTGATGAGTGTAACACTCCTCAGGCCCATTTAAGGGCATACCAAGTGATTATCTTTGGCAAATTACTTTACGCTAGTTGATTATGACGCAAATTGAGGCGCCACACAAATGAAAGGCTCGCTAATATTGTAGACTCATCAATTTATATTTGCTTTTGCCAAAAACATTAATAACGAAATTAAACACAATACTTCTACCCCGAATCCATTAATAATGATGAAGTTGTACAAAAGTGTGTAACGGGCACAAGAAAATATCTGCAGTATATATATTCCTGATCAGCATCGATGAATTTATATCTATTTTAAATCGGACTTCAGAGATACTAGAAGTGAGTAGAGCTTTCTCGATTAAAGCATGCTCACTTGGTTTTACATCGCTTAGTTACTTATCAAGAAACTTATAAATAAAGTATTTATATTTCTGACAACTCTTCTATGATTAATTTCCGACCAAGCTCTACAATCATCTGTTGCCCAACTTCAACAAATCTCAATCGAAGTGCTTATTTAACCCAATCGAAGCTGTTTGCAACATATTATTAAGCAGTTCAATCAGTAATTAAGCAGCTGTTTATTATTTGCTTAATGCTGTTATCGTAGCTGTTGCCAACTTGCAGCCAACTCGCATTTGCACCACATATATAGAATATGCTTGAAATGCTCGTTTCAAAAGAATTGCCATAATTAAATTAACTTCCCGCTGGAAATTCATTTAAAAGTCATTATCAATAATCAAGGCATTGGCGTGGTCATGGGGGGAGGGGGCTAGCAGCCAAAAGTTGCCCACCAGTCGCGAACTCGTGTTTTTTACCCCATTTTCAAGACGAGTCGAGCTTTTCATCCTTTGCCAGTTGGCGCATTTAAAACGCGCTTATGCTTGATTGGCATAATTTATAAAGTTTTTTCTGCACTCTCACACACAGACACACACAGACACACACAAACACACAGACACAGGCAATGACAAGCAGATGTGCACACTCATAAATAGTGTCGGATTTTATTCATTAAGTGTGTGTGTTTGTTAATTTATTGAATATTGCGCAAAATCAAATTTAAGAAATAAAATCGAAAAGTAAAAACCGAAATATGTAAAATATTGCACTCAACGCCAAACGCTGATGCACCACACTGCACACACCTCAGACCCAATCATACAATTTCGATGAGAGTAATTAACGGTAAAGTGCTGCGCTTTATATATATATCGCTCAGCCAATTATGGAACTCAATTTATTTAAACAAAATATAATAAGAGCACAAGTGAAACAACTACGAAAAACAAAAAACAACGGATATCCTAGGCAAGCCGAGCATTGAATACCCTTGCAGAGTGGAGTCGAAATGCCGACATCTAAAGCTGATTGTTCCTATACAAACTAGATGATATAGTAGGCTGATATCTATGATTGTTTGACAGCGTAATAAAATGCATAACCGATGAGTTTGGTTAGAATCACTTGATAAGCAAACATTTTTTCATGCAATATCTTGACCGATGGTGCCTGTAGCAGCTATATGATATAGTAATTCGATTCGGCCAGCTCCGATATATGTGCGGCAGTAATGTTTCATCCACATAGATTTAAAACTCAGAAACAATGACAGAACGAGAAATGGACATGGCTATATCGACTTGACTGCTGACACTGATTTAGAAAATATATTTTAATGGGTTCGGAGACGTCTCCTGGAAGGCGTTACAAACTTCACGACAAAACTATAATATTCTCTGTAAGGACTTAAAAAAGCACAAGCCCGACAATGTGAAGAACTGTTAAAACCAAAGAGCAAGAAACACGACAGTTGAAAGCGGCACGACTATGACTATACTCTGCGAAACATAAAACAATAAATAAAAAAATTACTAAAATGAATTTTTAATTAATTAAGTTGAACTTATCATAGAGACTATGACAAAAATGGTCCCATCCCTTGAAAATGTAGTCAGATTAACCAAAACTTAAGGAAGTTTAAAGTTTAAGGAGATTTCCAAGTACAAATTATAAAATCTTCAAAATATAGTTATAATTTCAATAAACCCCATTTTCTGTCCTCTCATAACCAAATGATGACAATGTCGAAAATGACTTAACTACACTCAAAGTTTGGTAAATGAAGTGAGTCAGCAGGAAGAACCTTAATGAAGAGCTCGTCTTACGCTGATTAAGTACAGGGTATACAAATATTGATGCACTTGGCCCTTGGCAAGGCAAGGCCATGGCAAGGATGCCGCTAAAGTGCGCAGTGTACCGTGTGCAGTGTAAGCCATTAAGGGAAATCAGTGCCAGCTCATAAATAAAAGAGTTAATCAACATATTGACGCAGACAGGGCCAGACACGATACGAGAGACGAGGCAAGGGAGACGTGGCAAGGGAGACGTGGCAAGGGAGACGTGGCAAGGGAGACGTGGCAAGGAAGAACGAGGGATGAGGAATGAGAGACGAGTGAGGTGAGACGAGACTTTTGCTTAACGCAGTGGGTCACATGAAGGCGGCAACTGATGGCATTTCAATTAATCCCTCGAGGCAGTCTGTGGTCCAGTTTAATGTACAACCATTTCCGTTGTAAGCTCAATATAACGATCTTATTACACACATATGCGACGTTATTATACAACAATTAATTAAGCGGAATGCAATAAAATTGGCAAAATTTGTGATTGAAATTAAGCTAACCTTATCGAAAATAGACCATGACCAAAATGGCTCCGTCACTTGAAAACTTCTAGAACTTTAAGATTAACTAAATAGAAATCGCGAATAAAATAATATAAAGAATTTCGACTTCAAACCTATTCCGACAATATTTCTCACAAATCTTGGCCCATATTATGAACCACAAAAAGCAGCTTTATAATTGAAGCTAACACTAATGAAGGTTGTCAACGCTTTTTTTGCTATATCGTGTTGTTTGTTAGAAACAGCACTAGATGTGGCAGCTGTTGCAGCAGTTGCAACATGCACGTTGATCATCGACAAAAACACTGACAACTGGCTGGCCAAATATGCGAACTATTTGCCACGAAAAAAAGGAAAACGCGCAAAAATAGTGGTTGCCACTGGAGAAAATTTGCCACTCTCGACGGTGGGTGTTGTAAGTGTGTGCAAGTGTGTGCGTGTGTGTTGCAAGCGCGTCCCTGAATGAATGAAAAGTGCTTAATTGCTTGTGACGGTGTTAAATAAATTCTTAATTGCTTCGCACTTTGCGCGTTTGCAACGTTAATAGGATTTCCGCTCAACGAATTGCTCAGCTGCATTCTGCATCTCTTCTCTCTTTCTGTCTCTCTCCATCTCCTCTATATATATATATATATCTATATATAAATGGGCTGTCAAAGTTCTTTCATTTTATTACCGTTAATTTCGTGTACACATTTCATTTTTATTTTATTTCGGCAAATGGCCAGCCAACCAGGCAGCGTGCAAATCCTTTTAGCCAAGTGTCAGCACGGCAGACAGCCATCATTTGCAAGGCAAAACGCTAAATTTCATTTTACAACGAGCACTCACGTTGCACGTTGCACGTTGCACGTTGAGCGTTACATGGTGCTCGTTGCACGCGGCGTATGCGCGCTACAAACATCAAAATTAACATGTGCCACATGCAGCACACGTTGCTAAAAAAAACTAATGACTTAATAGCTGTGCAGCTTAAGAGCTGCAGATTGCAATTACGTTAAAGGACACAACGCAGCAACGCTCAAGGACTGCCTGCCCCGCCCTCTCTCTGCCCCTGTGGCTATGTGATTATTGCCTGCTGGCCAATTCATTTGGCATTATTCAATAAGTTTCGCGCTTAAGGAACAATTACGTAACTTAGCAAACAATTACAAACCAAAGCGGCGACAAAGTGAAAAGAAATTACAATAATCAAAAAAAAAAAAGATGTGAAAAGGGGGCAAAAGCTACAAAAAATAAAATACAATGAAAATAGAGCATTGACATGCCGAAGTTGAAATACACTCGCAGAAAGAAGTGCTCAGTGCCGAACAGACTTGAAGCAAAAGCCATAATACCTTTTGTAAGGGACAGAGAAAAAACCAAGAAAGTGCAGAGTTGGGAATTTCTTTTATTTAAAACAAGAATTTTAATTTTACTTAGAGCTTTTTGTGCAGACAACACTCAGCGAATGCGGCGGGCGACTTGTAATGAAATTTACATAATTTAGAAAGACATTTTTGAGCAACTTTCGTTGCTGTGCTTCTTCTTCTTCTTACTGCTGCTGGGTGGAATGGGGGCAAGAAGAGGAAGTACGCTGCACGCGTATAAACAAGACATTTCCGCCACTTTAATTTTGAAAAGCTTACACTTGAGATTTTATTGGCCAATTCATTGTTAGCTACACAGCAAGACCCAGATAGAGAGCTCTAAAGAGGGCACGGAGGGAGGGAGGGGGTTGGCAATGAGAGGGGAGCATTCTGGAGGGTTCGAATTCTGTGCGCAAAAGTTAAAAGCGAACGAAACTTGCAAATTGCTCGAATACAGCAAGCAAGATAAAAAGAAATGAGTAAAAGCATACTAACTGCGACAAAGAGGAGTCAGCCGAGTGAGAATGAACTGAGGATACTCTAAAAATAAATAGTTTGGCTTATTTCTAAAGCTTATGCAGTAAAGTGGTTAAAGTTAAACTTGAAATCTGATTGTTTGAACGAAGTAAATGGTTTACTTCTTGAGCATATATTTAAATTGAAAAACCACATTAAATCCACTGTTAAAAAAGCTAGTCAAGTTATTAGTTTTATCAAAGATACAAGATACTTTACAGTATATATTCTATATTTTTTACTTCTAACATCAAGCTGGTATAGAGCCACATAACCCTTTAGTAATTCATAATTACTCTTGTCATAATATCGGCATACTCAATGAATAAATCAAACAGGGTCGTCGCTTGGTAAGTGTATGCAACGCAGTTGTAAAGAAAAAGGGCGCCAAACTACAAAAAATAAATGACTAAAGTAGCCGGTTTGAAAGAAATTGTGGCATCCAATGGCTCTCAGTAGGGATAGCTTTAACCAATGTTTGGCCGATTAAAGCCGGCAGCCATCATCGCTGCATCAGTTCGACTGTCGTCGTCTGTTCGTCGATTTGCCAAAGCAGCAAACTTGAAAGCCCAAAGGCGTCGCGGCCAAGTCAACACTGAGTTTTTGGGTCTGGGATTCGTGAAGCAAATGCGCCAGCAGGCTTCACAAAAAATATTTGCATAAAGTCAGCAAAAGGTTCGAAGTCGATACTTTTTTTTTACTTGCAGCTGCTGGTCGACTTATTGAATAAACATGACAGTCGCCGTAATATATATGAAAAACAAACAAAAAGTAATCCCTAATCCCCCAATTGCATATCCGCAGTGACCTGCTGAAGAAGCTGTCTGTGAAGGCGGGTCTTATTGGCTGTTTCCGTGGCCTGGTGGTCAATGGCGAGATACTCGACATCTACAGCTACATGTCAGTGCATCTGTCGGAGATTATCAAGGATTGTAAGCCATCCTGTGTGCCCTCGCCGTGTCGCAACGGTGCCCAGTGCAAGGAGCTGTGGAGCAGCTTCAAGTGCGTCTGCAACAATCCCTGGGCACACATTGGCGAGTTCTGCGAGACGAGTAAATAGAATCATATAGCAAACACAAACTCAACGCTAGCTAATTGAATTCTGTCCCCCCATTTTGTAGATATCAATGAGAAGGCGTTGACTTTCATCAATCGCGAGTCGTTTCTGATGCGAAACTATCTCAGTGTGACATCGACGCCAGCGATACTCCTCCATGGCATTGAGGATGAACGGGAGATGCTCAAAGGGATTCTCAGCCAGGATCTGTTGATTAATTTGCGTACCTACGATACAAATGCCTTGGTGCTCTATGCCAACGATCATTACAATAACTTTGTCCATCTGTACATCAGTCAGGCCAGGGAGATTGTATTCCTCTACAACTACGGCGATGAGATTGTCAATCTGACGCTGCTCGATGAAACACTGGTGAGCAATCTGAAGAGCATTCAGGTGGCCATTGTGCGGGGCGAGCAGGAGACTCGCATGCATGTTAATCAGCGCAGTGCCAGCATAGATCGGGGCACCCTCCTCCTGGATGAATACGCCAACAAGCCCTGGAGCAATCCCGAGAAGGGTAAGTCGAAGTTAAGCAATCAAAAATATAATTCAAATTATTTATTTATTTATTTATTTTTTGTTGACTGATTTTAGTTGACATTAAGTATATAAATAATGAATTAATCTTTATTTCAACCAGATTGTGATTGACTGAATTTTTTGGGGAATATCTGTGGTTCAGGTTCAGTAAGCCCAAATTCGAATTTATGTACAAATTCTTTCCAAAAATTAGCACATAGATATGGGTTAGGTTGTTTTTTAAAACACACGGGTGAGCTGCTTGATGATTACCTTCGTCACTTCCAGCGACTGCTGAGTTTTGAAGACTTCACATGCGAAGATGAGCTGCTGTTGTTCTGTGCCTCATCCTGAGCCGCCAGCTCTTCGTCGATCAGCAGCTCAAAGTTGCCCAAGGCATCAGCGCTGGGTATCTTATTCCAGCGGACATCTGGCAAACCATCCGGAGGCAGCACCACCGACAGAATGTTGTCAATCAATTTATACTTGAGTATGCGATCATTCACTGTTGTGGAGGTCAGGGATGGGGAGGCATTCACCTCCACCAGCCAGGGCTTCAGAGCATTATCAATGATGATGTCATAGCCATAACACTCAAAGCAGTGCCTATCGCTGGCCATCACGGGCGCTACAGCACGCAGCGAGTGTACAATCAGCCAGGAGATGGCGCCAAAGAGTCGATCGGTGACCTCCTTGCCACGGGTACCCTCCAAATACAGTGCCAAATTCTGCACCGACCACTTGCCGCCATGCAGGGTATTATACTCCCCTCCATGTTTCTGCACACTCACATTGGTCAGATGGACATACATGTTGTCCAGCTCCGTCACACTCGTATCGTATTTCACTGTACAAAAACGACAGAATCCCTGCTTGAAGAGATATGCTTTCAGGGGACGAAAGGAGGCGACAAGCACATACAGGCGCAAATCGAACTTTTTGCCACCGATCAGCAGCGGATTATCGATATATCTGGATATAACATACGATTCCTTGGCGATTTGTGGATGAAAAGGCCCCTTGGCCTCACGCGACCATTTCTTCAGCTTGGACAGCTTGTTGATGAGAAAGATGCCAGCGCCCTGCGATTTGCCGCACGGCTTCATAATCCAAGTGCTCAGCGGAAATTTGCGATACTCCTCCACAAACATATTATAATCCGCTGGCAGCACAAAAGTCGTTGGCACAAAATCCAGATAAAGATAGCGAGTGCCGCTCGAGTTATTTGACTCAGTTTTTTCGGCCAGAGGATTACCATCCCGTTCGAGATCCTTGCGATAGCGTTTGATATTCTTGACGAGCAGATCCTTGCGCGAGAGCTCATAGTGATTGGGAAAATGATTGATCATCTGATTGTCGTGCATCCGATAACCGCTGTCCACACTAAAGATATTCCGACACGTCTGCACGCCAGCCCAATAGAAATGCCAGTCATCGTCGCCATTTACCTGATGCCAGCCACGCTTCTCAAAATTGTTCACCAGCACCGATTTGTCCAAATCCGTGCAGAAGCCAATTTTTACCCGGTCATGACACTGCTGATTACCACCAGCACCACCAGCTCCACCACCACCTGCACCACCCCCGGCCGCACCAGTGCCAACTGTGGCTGGCAGACGACCGTACATTGTGGCAACACTCCTGTCGATTGTCGGCTGCAGACTGGCAATGCGCTGCGTCCAATCGCTCACCGGTCCGGCGCATCCATAATACATTGTTGAGGCATCCCCACCGCCCCCGTACATCCTGACATGACCGCGCATTGCCAGCCGTTGCTTAGCTGCCAGTCACTTGTTTGATATTTCGGGCACTGCGACTTTTATTGAACCAACAAAGCTTTCTCCAACTGGTTGCCACTGGTAACTTTCTCCTACCACCTCTCCTTGAGGCCAGCCAATCCTTAGAGTCTGCTTTTTTTTTTCACTGTGCCGCCAAGCGCAGCAGGCAAAATAGTTTCAAAACAGTTTAGCAACTAAAGTTGCAAATATGCCAAAAATGTCCAAACACACACCAAAATAAGAGAAAAAAATGTGAAAAAAAACACACTGGGAAAAATCTGTGTTCACTGCGATCGCCAAATTATTTGCACTTGAAATATTTTTCTGTGTGTGTGTATGTGTGATTGTGTGTGTGTGTGTAGAGTCAGTAAAAAACACCAAAAATAAACTGTATAAAACGAAAGCAATTCGAATGGCTAAACTTTTCTCAATGGCATAAAAACATTCAGCTGCTTTATAGTTGTTTGAAAAATGTTTGCCAGAATATGTTAATAAAACTGAATTGTTGAAGCCGAAATCGCTTTTTCACACACTCCAACTGTGAATTGGATCAGTTTTTAATAAACATTGTGTTTCAATGGTATTAAATTCAAATCAAAATTCAGTTTAACAGCCATATGAATAGAGTGTTCTAGATATAATTGATAACTATTGCATATCCTCGTCGTCTGCTATTTTCCAACTTGATTAATGGGAAAATATACAAATTTGCATAAATTTGTCAAAACTGATTGAAATTTTTAGCTTCGGTTGCATTTTGGCATTAAATCTGAATTTTAAAAGGCTTTGTTCAACGGAATCGAACAAGTTTGAGAGAGAGACAGTGCTCGACTAAAAGATACCCTGAATACGTCTGTTAAATAGTACGCAGAGGAGTGTTGATTAAGGAATTTCGTCTGAGTATTTAAAATATATTTTAAATGGCTTTCATTTACTCTTAAGTATATCAAACAACACTTGTACAATGAATAATTGCCAACAATCCTGCTTTCAGTTAGATCCACTTAAATTAATCGAAATAATCCAAGTAATGAACTTAAAGAGCATTTTGAACTTACTTCGATTCAGTACCTTAACTGATTTAAGCCAGCAAATTCAGCAATTTGGATTCTCTTTAACTGCACTTAAGACGGTTTCCAGATTAATAAGTCGATGCATGCATTTTGCTTTTGGCAAAAGTCGCCCAAATTACGTACAACTTCGGCTTAAAGGCACTTGAAATGGAAATCTGCCAAATTTGCCCAAAAATCAATCAAAGAGCTCGTGTTCAGCACAGCAAATGCAGACCAAATTTGCCAGCAAATTTGGTGTAGTTAGTCAGCCGGCAGAGAATCAATCATAATTAGACATCGAAAATTGTACAAGAGAGAGAGAGAGAGAGAGAGAGAGAGAGAGGGAGAGAGAGAGAGCTGAAAATCGTCAATACTTCTGTAGGGAGAATAACACATGACCACTTATGCAATTAAATGCGTTAACTGGAAATTATAGATAGACAGGCAGAGAGGCAGGCAGAGAGCCAGTCAGGGCCATGGCCAGGGCCAGGGCCAGGAATTAACTGGCTAGCTGCAAACATTTCAATTAGACAAACTTGGGCTCCAAATGCCAAAAGCGGACCCCAACACAAAACCCAATTGCCACACAGCAATGAAGGCTCATTTCCGCACAGGCCACACACAGAAATGGGGTCGAAACGTGGTCGGAACGCTTAAACTGGTTGCCTCATTTGATTTTGTTGTTGTTCTTGTTCTTGTTGTTGTTTATTTGCAGAGGTCCTATCGCCGCATCGTCCGCCCGCCCCGCCCACCGAGTACTTTCAGTTCCACGTTGGCGGCTACGATCCAGCAAATTTGCTACGCCCAAATGTGGATGCACCCAGTCTCGAGGGCTATATCGGTTGTGTGCGCGGCCTCAAAATTGGCGCCCAGTTGATCGACTTGGCGGAAATCAATGAAAGGAATATAGCGCCCAGTAAGTACAACTACGAGTAGGAGTACGAATACGAGAATAAATCAATTTTCACTAAGTGCCAGAGCCAAACCAGACAACTAGCAACCAGCAGCAGCAGCGTAATACTATTTTCGGCTGCCTGCTTCGTGTTGTGGCTGCCACACACTGCTGCAACTTAATATGCAGGCAATTTCCGCAAAGTGCTGCCACTGTTGAGCCTGCTGCTATGTGTGTAGTGTGTGCTCCAAGATTAATGCCAATACGATAAACGCAGCCAGAGCGCCGGCTACGCGGCGTATGATTTATGCAGCTACACGGCCACACACGGCGCGGAAATTGCCTCCTGACATTCATACGATTAAGTATCACGTATTGCAGCCCCGCTAATCCAACTAGCGATGAATTATCCTTATCTAGAGCCAGCGGAATATGCCGAATCACTCACTGGCTAGCTGATTGAAATTTCATTTCTCACAGTGAACAAAGTTTGAAAAGAAAAAAAATCACACTTTGTAATTTAGAAAATCGAAATAGTTTTAATGCCAAGGTTAGCAAAACTTATTATTCAGAAAAGTATTTTTTTAATTCAGGATTTTCTTTTCGCTAGTCTGTAAACAAATTTATAGATTAAAAAAAAGTAGTTGTTTCTCAATTTAGAAAGGATTTCTTCTACAGACTAGGGACATATTTTACCAATATTTAATCATCTCCTTAATCCCCACAGCTTCGGAAGGTGTACTGCCCAATTGCCAAATCAAATGCGATGCAGAGCCCTGCAAGAATGGTGGCATTTGCAAGGAGCATTTTGCCGAACAAATGTCCACCTGCGACTGCGAGCACACCAGTTTCCTGGGCGAGTTTTGTTCGGTTGAGAAGGGCGCCGATTTCAGCGGGGAGTCCACACTGCAACGCAAATTTGAGCTGCCCAGTTCGGGCAGCGTGAACTATGTGCGCCTCCAGCTGGCTTTCTCCTCATTCGACTTGAGACGAGCCAATCGCATTATGCTGCTGTTGCAGACAGCCGCGGAGCGTAGTTATTACCTACTGCTGGCCATCACCTCGGATGGGTATCTGCAGTTCGAAGAGGATCGCGAAAGGGGCCAAACTGTGGGAGCACGCATCGATCGGAATTTCCTCAACAGTGCCAGACACTCGATTTACTATGTGCGCAATGGAACCCAAGCCGTGCTCTACATCGATCGCGAACAGGTGCCCCTCACGGACTTCGCGGCCCGCGTGCTGACCACCACCTTGGATGAGGGCGCCAATCGCGCCCAAATTGGCGGCATCAATACCACAGACTCTCGTTTTGCGGTCTTTAAAAGCTACAGCGGCTGTCTGTCAAGTGAGTAAAAAGGGGCAGCCTTGCTGCCACTGTCGAGTTCCAGTTGCAGTTGTCGTTGTCGTTGGAGTCATAAATTTCATCTCGACTTGCCATTAATTTATATGAATAGGCAGTGGGTGCTATGGTTTTGTTAACAACTATGTAACGCTTGCACAATTTAGCTGTTGTTTGACTTGGCCAGCTAAAAACTATTACTACGACTGCTCAAACTTTTGAAAGACAATTTTAATTTGTGCTCGCTGTTAATGAAATTAGTCACCTTCTATTGAATGGTAATAAGTATAGATCCCTATTCAAATGTTTTAATCACCCGAATCTTTTCTACAATATTCATTTTCGAATTTATCTAAATCGTCTGCTCTCAAAAATATCATTTTCTCAATTTAGTCAACGACATCCAAAATGCAGGCAAAATAAGTGTATTTAAAATTTTGCAACACCCAAAAAAGCTTTAACTTTTTTTCGACGGTTTTTCGTCATACTCAAATTGCAGTTTATTGTTTTTCTTGTTGTTGTTGTTGTTGTTATTGTTATTGTGTGGTCTCATCAAGTGGCACGGCCAGCAGTTGCAAGGAGATGCTGCAGCACTCTGTTGACCAAAAATTAAATTTATTCGCTGCCATAAAAAGTCATTTCCGTGGCTGTTGCCATAAATTTTTGTCAGTTTTTGCGCTCTCAAGATTTACAGTGGCTCATATTTAAATTGTTGCTCCTGCTGCTTTTGTAGCTGCCGCTGCTGCTTTTACAACAGCCAACCACACTTTGATTAAAATTCTCAACTCTCTCTCTCTCTCTCGCTCAACTGTTAGTTGCTTAGCCAGCCAGCCACGCCCACTTCACCGCCTCCTGGATGTGTGTGCAAGCTGTTAAATGGAGCAACTATTAAAGCGCCATCGAATCGCGTTTGTTTGCCAATGGCCATAAACAGAGCAGACGAAAATGTTGCCTCAAAACCCACCCACCAAAAAAAAAAACTGCAAAATTGCATATTGGAAAAGTTTTTCCGTTTTCGAACTCGCTTAAATGCAGTTAAAACCAATTGAAATTTTTGTGCAGTGACAAAAAATACAAAAAAAATGCGACTTGAATTATTAGTTGGCCAAGTGAGCAAAAGAGCTTCATTTAATCAGCTATCAATTTGTTTAGCTATCCATAGTTAACATTTTTTTGTGCAGTGCAAGTCGCAACTCAATAGCAGGGGCAGTTAACGTTTTTGGGGTATTACAAATTTTATTGCTAATTTCGGCAAGCCATAAAATATGCACGAATGGTCACAGACCCTGTAGACGTCCAACAATAACAACAACAATACCAACAACAACAATTTCCAGGCCAAGAAGACGATCCCAAAATTGACCCGGAACGCATTTGCATTTCAATTTGAATTAATGACCAATACTAATGAGAATTTCATCAATATTCCCAATTGGCGCCGCAACGCAGACATCTACATCCAGGTGAATGGGCACATTATGAAGCCACTCGAGGAATATATGCTATTCACCAAATCCGGTGCCGACAACATAACGGTCATTAATCCGCAGGGCGTACGCAGCGCACAATGCAATGCCAAATTCGATGTGAGCGAGCAGCCAACGCAGGAGCCCATGGTCAACGTTAGCATGGTAAGTCAACTGTATTAAATACACTGTGCAAAATTTGTAGAGTGCACTTTATAAAATACCAGTTAGGTGTTTATATATGTATGTAATACGTCTGTGTTTCTTATCCGATATTAATGAAATCTTTAAGGTTGATCAATAATATGTCTAGAAATGTTATATATTAATATCAAGACTGTAACTTCATAGTTTCATCTTTATTGCTATATATAATCGATTTGAAGCGATAATAGCAAAACGGTGGCAGTTATTTATGAAATGAAATAAACTTGATCTGCATAAGAATTTATATTCGAAATTTAAAGTTTCTAGCTTTGATAGAAAGAGATAGATGATGATAATCCTGACCCCATTGGGCTCAGATACGTTTCCTTCTGCCTGTTACAGACATTTCCACAACTGCATTATACCCTTTTTGCCGATCTTTAATGGGTTCGATCTTTTATATTTCTCTCCGTAAAATGCTTACTTGCTCTCAATCGCTCTCACATTAAATGGACAAAGAGAGTTGAAAACAATAAACCACATTTGCGCTCTTCACACTCAATTATTTTCTTTAAATTCCCATTTCGGGCTTAATTTTATTAAACTGTTGGTTCCCAGTTTCAACACGGGATAAGGCATCTGTGTTCCGTCCATAATGTAAATCTGAGTAGTGTTAACTGTGGGCCTTATGTTGATCCACTTCAACTCTCACCTCTCAACTCTCGGTAGATACCCGAGCCGTGGGTCGAGGAGCCGCCACAACGAGTGCCGTATATATCGAAATTCGTTTATGACGTGGACAAGAAGGAGGACTCGACGCAGGTGCTGTTCATAACGCTGACCAGTGTGTTTGTCATCATTGTTGTGTGCTGCCTGCTCGAGGTATATCGCAGCCATTTGGCCTACAAGAAGCGCATCGAGCGCGAAACGGACGAGGACATCATTTGGTCCAAGGAGCAGGCAACCAAAATGCACGAATCGCCGGCTGTGAAAGGGCCATCATCCACAGGCCATACGGGCATTAAGGCAGGCCACAACAGCAGCAGCCTGCCCGCATACAGCTACAAGGCGGTAAGCAACATGTTGTTGATGCCGCAGCTCTAATGAGATTTATTTGCATCTCTCTGTCTCTCTCTCACTGTCTGTGTTGCAGCTGCCGCAGGAGGACAGCAAGAAGCCAGGCAACGGTGCACCGTTGGTAGGCATACTCAAGAATGGCAATGTAACGCCACCAGCCACCTCTGCACCCGGCACACCCATAGCTGCAACAAAGAATGGCGACATTGCCACGCGCATCGAGGAGGAGCAAGAAGATGAAGAAGAGGAGGCTAATGGGCAGCCAACTGAACAGCAGCAGCAGCAGGAAGAGGAAGAGGAAACGGCCAAGCCGTTACAGCAGCAGCAGCTGCTTAACCTCAAAGAGGAAGAGCCTGCCACAAATGGTGCGTCATGTAAATTACTTAAAAGCCATGCAAAATTATGACAAGCATCTTCTTTTTTGCTTGCAGCTGCCGAGTCAACAGACAACCCACTGCAAAATGGTCAGCCGGATGTCGCAGACACAACAACTACAACAACAACAACAACAACCGCAGCAACACCTACAACAACAACCACAACAACAACGCTACCGGTAAGCCGTGTAAATTTAAACAAATTGGCGCCCCTCGTCACAATTAGTGAGACGAACTTGCATGAGCTGTGAGCGGAGTCAGTCCAAGACCCCCTTTTGTCCACTCCCATGTAAATAACATAAAAAACACACACACAGCATGTCATTACATCCTGACACATTCTGAAAAATATTATTAAATATTAAAATCGAAATTCTTTGCCTGCTGATTGCAATTTTATGTTTTATAAATATACAACTACTACTACAACTACTACTACATCTAGTCCATAGCATTGTTATTGTAAATTATTATTATTATTATTAAATTATTTGACATTTTAACAACAACAACAAGAACTGCCATTTACTAAGCATTTTCTTTTTTTTATCATATTTTAATTAGGAGTCTCTGATTTTGTCAGAATAAAATTCGACTTATTGCGATTTTTTACTCTATTAAGCTAGATTTTGACAGCTTAAAAATAGCCAGCAGTGCAGCCAGAGGATAGTTCAATTTTGTCTCCGGCTCCATAAAGTATATATATATATATTATTGATCAGCATCGATAACCGAGTCTATTGAGTCATATTCATCTCTTTGTCTGCTTATGTCCCTCAGTTGTACAACTATTTTAATGAAACTGTGTATATATCCGTCCTTTAGCAGGCTGTAAATAAATATAGCTGTCATAGGAACAAATTACGCATTTTTGTCATTCTTACTTGTGTATTATTGTCCAATCAAATGTGACTTTGTTTCAATATGAAGAGTTGATTATTTCTATTGATTTTAATTTAACAAAATCAACAAATGTGTACGAAAACCAGGCAGAGTTAAATTTAAGCCAAATATTTTCTTCGCATAATCAATGTGTTTATGTTGTGTGTGTGTGGTATTTTTTATGCCAGCCAACTTATTGTTGTTCATTTGACCGTTGTTTGTATTCTGCAGGCAGACACACAAAACCAGTTGCAGAGCATGGGTGTTCGACTAGGCGATACCCCGTAAAAGGGGTGTGCCAAAACTAATAGCTCGTTTCTTTTCAATACTAACAAATATATAATTTACTTTACTGATGTCGCCGAAGCTACCCCATTTCACTTTTCACTGGGTGCATATTTATTACGTGCAGAAACTCAATATTGTTTAATTTTGAAATAATCGTAATTTAATGTCGCCAGTGTATTGTGCATGTTGTTTTAATTGTTGTTTAAATATTATGGGAATGCTTAATTAAAATCTGCTCAAACTCATTTGTGGGCGTTAGTAAAAGGGGGCGTAGCACTAATAAAGAAAATATAACTGGTTACGAAACTGGCAGCAAACGGCCAAAGCATTAAATAGGCTCATATGGAGGATGTGGCACCAACAATTGTTGTTGCAATGTGGCAACAAGGCAGCTTCATTTAAATATGAATTATTTAATAAGCAAAGAATGCAAATTCTGCCAACACAATGCTTTCATTTTCGTTTTATTACACATCGTTCAACTTAATGGAATTTCATTTGTAAGCTGTGAAAAATGCATTAAAAACTAACGATTATTATTGTAAATACGCTTATGAATATTTTAAAGTGCTCTTCAGGGGCTTGACCCGACTTACGACACCTTTTGTTGCATTTTATTTTCTATAAACCCAGCAATCTATTTTCTTGGCCACAATTCGAATTTTTTTGTGGCTATTCTTTCCTGCAGCTGTCCACTCTTTTAAATGTGTGTGTGTGTTGTGGGTGTATTTAAGAGACAAAAGTAAGAATGCTGCGGTCGAGAGCGCTCGACTAGGAGATGTCCTGAAGTTGTCAAATAGGCTTGCTGATGGTAGTTTACTTAATATGAAAATATGTTGTAATTTCTGTGTTTCTTAAACGAACTTAATCAAACTCTTACAGTTCATCAATAATATATCTGAAGGGGAAGGCTATATCTTAACAATTGTGTCTTCTAATGCTATCGTTAATCGATTTGTATCGATGTTCGCGAAATAAACTCGATCTGCGTTTGGTTAACGAGAATTTATATGCCAAATTTCGAGCTCCAATTGTATCTGAGAGGGGCTTGTTCATACGGACAGAATCGAATCAGCTGTCGATGCTGATCAAGAATATATATATTTTAGTCTCAGATGCTTCCTCCATCTTCCAACACAACTTCAATATACCCTTCCCCTGCATAAAAAAAAGCGAACATCGCAAAAATTCAGCACAGCGAATCGCAGCAATTGAACTGCATTTGTGGCATGGCTTGCCTTTTGTTGCCAAAGACATTTTCGAAATTAATATGCATTGAGGCAACAAAAAACAAGAAATAAAACTCAAGGTATCAAATGCGAACAAAGGCCACAAGAGAAAAAAAGAACACGATGCTGCACACAAAGGCAAACAAAGCTAAAACCAATAATAACAATTGCTGCAAGCCAAGTCACAAATTATGTGATATCATTTTGCAGGTGGAGGTAAAAGTTGATATTTTTAAAAGCATGTACTTACTACCTGGATATCAATGAATAACCATGATTTATGTATGAAGCGCCAAAGAACTTGAAGAAACTTGAAAACTGACTTTCGGCACGACTAAAAAACTCAACTTTTCCCCATCTCTGCTCTGCTTACGAACTATGTAAAAGCAAAATATTGAACTTATTGGCTTTTATGTAGTTTCAGCATCAAACGTACCCATCGAAGGGGTGTAGGAGGGGAGTGGTGGTGGCGTGTTACTTTTGAGCTTACTTAGCATGTACTTTTCCCCGACTTGAACTTAAGCTGCACCCAAATTGAATTTACCCAAGCTGCTTCCCAAAAAGCTAGCTCCAATCTTGAATCTCGAATTGCAAATCTAGAGCCTTGAGCTCAACGACAATACTGTGCCTGTGTTAGACTAACAGTTACCCTGTAAGTGTGGCAACTACTACAGCTGCCACTTTAGTTATTTGTTTTATTCAAGTTAAACTTTACTTGAAGCCAAGACATCCATTTTCGACAGCTGTGCTGGGTATTTGAAATGGCGAAAGTTGTGTGGGCAAAGTGCGTGTGGCATTGTCTGAGCACCATTGTGCAACACTCGTACTTGCAGCCGTTTCCGCCTGACTTGCGGCGTTTGCGTTGCGTCTTCCTGGCTGATTGCAACGCCAGCCCGAAATTGAAGCGTATCCTAAAAAGTTTCGGGGTTTTTTTTGGGGCATCGCACCCCAAATCAAAAAGTTTCGCTTACAGCCGCAAGGGCAAAGGGGAGTGGAGCAGCATGGGGGAAGTCAAAGCTTTTGTTTAAGCGGCAGCAGCCAAAAAAACGGGCTGCAAGTGCCACAACTGCTGTACTGCCACAGATATTCCTTCTGTGCTTGCTGCGTAGTTTGAAATGTTTTTTATTTTTGCTTGTGGTTGTTTCTTTGCATTTTCTTTGCCACTGCTACGGCTGCTGCTGTTCATTTGGGCCTTGCCACAAAACGCTGCACGCACTTAACTTTTGCTGCTACCAGCTACCACAATGCTGTGGTGAAACTCATTACGGGCTTAGAATGCAAAAAGCCAGCAAAACAAACCTCAAGCAGCAGCAGGAGCAGACACACAAATGCACAACAGCAAAAAATGCAGTAGACAACTTTCTATAAGTGCATAATATCTGTAAGTGTGTATATAAGTGTGTGTGTGTGTGTGTGTGTGCACTTGCAACTCTTCTATAAACCTTAATGAAGCACAAAGTCTGGCTAATGATGTGTAAATTAAAACGCCAGCCTCACACAAATAATCAATAAACAGGCAACGCGGCGTATGCGCAATCAGACCACAAATCAAACAAAGCCGAGAGCTAAATCAATGGGAAATTCATACATATATTTATATATATATGTATATATAAATAGAATGGAAAAGAAATCAAAGAGTTTGCTTTGATTTATCACAGGTTGCAAGCTTGCTTGTGTAAATAGTACAAAAAATGAATTTAAAGAGTGGAGAGACTTGAACTGGAAATACCCTGTTTGCAAGTTTTTAACTATCATAAGTCTTAGATTTGCATGTGTTTGAGTATGTATGTCTGTATGTATGCGTGTGCGCTTGTATTTATGCATGTGTATAGAAAAAGCTTTATGCGGTAATCGATTTGTATCGATTTTAGAGGAATTGAGAAAATGCATCCATCTGCACAACTTTACACCTCTTAACCTTTTTGAATGGGTAGACAAATACAGTAGAAAGATTTAAAGCATCTCTTTCTGCAACAACTAAAGTGTCGTTCGATTTAATAATTCAATACAAAATTGTTACCTGATGGAAGCTGTTCAATTAGCCAACTCGCTTGATATAAGGCACTTTTGGCATGTAAATGTAGAATTCGTGTTTTGTTGCACAAGATTGAACTGCAAGTTAATTTGTGTTGAGTCGACTACAACTTCCAATTAGGGGTTCATTAAAGTTTGCGATTGACTCAAGCATGCCGCAAGGAAGGGCACACAGTTTGGCAGTGCGACGGGGAGGGGGAGTGGAACCATTAGAACTATGTGGAAAATAATAATGCATGCCACATGAATAGAAGCACGGCGCATACTGTGTGGCATGTTAATTAAAAATTACTGTGCATGACATATTAACTGTGAAATGAGTGTAACGGTAAATGCTAGCCCGCAACAACAAAACAACATCAACAACCAATTAAAGAAAGTGATAAAAACTCACGAGAATGCTGAAAGAATAATTAAAAGAAAATATTAAAACGTAAAAGAAACGCTTTTAATAAATAATGCAACTCCAGCAGCAGCAGCACAAACATGAACACCAAGTGCAACAGACACCGCCGTCGACAACGTCGCCGCCGCCGCAGCAGCAACCGTTGCCACCTCAGCAGCAGCAGCAGAGACAGCCGCTACAAAGAGCGGCAACACTTCAACAGCCGAGCACAAAGGGACGACGCAAGGGGGCAGCGATGAGTGCAGCGCCAACTGTGCGACGACAAGTCTCGTGGGGGCCGCCAATCGTAGCGGAAACGGATGTAGACTTGCCAGCAGCCGCCACAAGCGGCGGCAAGGACACCACCCGCAAGACGACCAAGCAGAATGGCTATCACGGCGTCAATAGACGAGCAGCAACGGCGACAACGACCCGCAACTGAGCAAAACAAAATAAATATATCTATATATCTAAATATATATAAATAAACACATATAAGCATGTACATATATATATATATAAAAGCATAAATATTTAGTCGAAACGAAAGTCGCAAGTCGAAAGCGAAATCAAACACAGATTGAGCACAATTTTTATGGAATAAAGCAGCAAGAAATAAAAAACAATCAAAACAAAAATATGCTTAAGCATATTGAAAATCTAATAAAACGGATATTTATGTATATTTAAAGATGTTTGTTCCGGCATAATAGACACACTTTTCTTTTTAATTCATGAGAAATTTATTCTTAGAACTTGCGACTTATTTAAAATTGATGGCTCTTTTTGTATCAGAGACAGCGGAATTCAGTTTTTTGGGACTTAGTTTAATAGAGAAATCATATTGCGAAAAAAAATACAATTTTGCGAGACGAACTTTAACTACTAACAACTATAAAGATTGAATTAGTTTATATTAAAAACTGTATTTGTTCAGCGATAAAAGCAGGTAATTAAATAATATTAGAGCTAGATTTTTAATTGCATGTTTGAAATACACAAAAAAAAATAGTTAAAGTAGAATAAAATAAAGTATTAATTCTCTATTATAAATATAGTTTAATAAATTCATTTGTATATAAAATTAAATTCGTAGCGGAGCTTTATAAGTTTTAAAGTTAGCTGAAACTTAAATCAAAATTTCTGAAAATATATTTCTCTTTAAAAGTAAACATCTATTTTAGGCATGCCGATGATAAAATACCCTTGCAGAGCAAAGGTAAACTAAAAAGTTTTTCATTCAAACTACAAAAAGTAGATATAAATTTATATAAATATGATTTTAACTCATTTTCTAAAAACGACTTTTATTTTAATTTTGAGCCTTATACAAATACTTGATGTGTGTAAAAGGCATATTACTAAGAATATATATACATCTATATATTATAAGACCCTTTCTCCAAGTCTATATAATAATTGCAAAACGAACTTTTAAGATTTCATGTGTGGAAAGTTTTTGTATTTCGAGCCGAACTCAGTTCATGGCTAAAATACATATACATATATTGTGAGGGGAAAATTCCATTTCCATATGTATTAAGTTTAAGTAACTGTCTTCCTGCACCCGCTGTGTGTTGTGATATATGTTTGTTTGTATGTTTGAAAGGTAATAAAAGTTTTTTCGTTTGCCTGCGAAACTTGCGAAACAAAAAGCACAACTTTAAAATGTTTCTTATTTAACAGAATTATACAATGAGTATGTACACACACACACGCACACACACACACACATATTAATTTTCATTTATTTAAATAATTTTTATTAAAAAAGTTTCAAGCGAAATATGTTGACGACAGTAGCAAAAAAAAAGGTAAAATGAGCATGGAAATATTTTTGCACACATAATGACACATCAATATGTAAGATGTGTATGTGTGTGTGTGTGCGTGTGTGGGAGTGATGGGAGTAATGGGAGAGTGGACGAGGGAAGGGGCTAAGGGCAAAGAGGCAGGCAACCAACAGCTTGTTAGTGGCTTTGTTGGTCAGTACTTTCAACTAATGTGTTTTGTGCGACCATACAAAATCTCAAGCACCCATTTACACATACGCAAACACACTCGCACACACACGAACACACACACACATAGATACAACACTCAGGCACACTCGCTCAATGTACTTAAATTGTTGTTGTTGTTGTAGTTTGCAGCTGCTGCTGCTGTTTCCCCGGCTGCCATTTGGGATGCCAACAAACCGCAGAGCACATGTATGATATGTGTGTGTGTGTGTGCGTGTGTGTGCTGATGTGTGTACTCGTGTGTGTGCCTGGGTCAGAATGGCAGCTAGCTGTATGCTTCATCGCCTTTAGAGCGCTGCCTGCATAAAATAACCGCATAAAATGTCGTTAAGCATAACGAAATTGAGTCTGCTCATAAATTCAGATTATAAGATTAAAATGTTGTGATTTTCGCACGCAAAAGGGGAATACCCCTTTTCCCCCCTCTGCCTCTTATCCCCAAAAATAATGAAACACAAAAATTGGTGCAACGAGCTGGCTTTTCTTGGCTTTTTTCGCTGGCAGGCAGGCTTATTGAAAACTGCTGCTGATACGAGCAAGGCGATGGGGATGTCAGTGACAACGATGCCAAAAATTAATGAGTTTACGACTTTTATCGCCCCAAATGTCGTCGCCTTAATGCCAGCACAATTTATGCAGCTAGCGACAAGCGTTGATAAGTCGGAAAGATTTTTACCAGCACATGCTTTGCATAAGAAAAACTTTGTCAGCTTTCAAAAGTGCTACAAAGGAAGCGAAATACTCTGTAGAGAGTGTAAATTATCAGAGAAGCAGAGAAGTGATAGCTCTGCGAGATACTCTGCTTAGAGTATTGAATAAAAGATAAGAGTATCAAAATATCAATTCAATTCAATTTAAAAGAAAAGTTTATCGGGGAGATAGTCGATTGAAAGTATAGACTTAACGATAAGGATTTATTTGTTTATCTTAGAGCTTTGACAGGAGCTGGTTATGACAGAGGGATACTCGGTTTGGAGTATAAACTACGATATGGTCGTTAAACATTCCTCTGGGCTATACGATATTCAAAGTATAGTCCAAAAGATATGGGTATCATTATATCAATTGTGAATTATGTATTCGTCTAGGAGAATAGATAAACCAAAATGCAATATCAACAAGAAAGAAAGTCTAGAAAGGCCCTTATAGACCAGAGTCAAATAGCCAACTATACATTAAAAAAATAGACCAATTTGTTCCTCGGAAGCTATATGATATAGTAATCCGATATTGATAATTTTTGAATATGCAATACAGAACGTATAACCGATGAATTTGGTTTGGATAATTTAGTAAAAAATAAAGTTGTTCTACAAGAACTCTTTTTCGGTCGATTGTTTCCATGGAATTTACCATTTATCCATGTTGTTCAAGTTTTATTCACATACCTTTAAAACTTAAGGGTTAAGGAACAGACAGACAGAAGGCTGGATAAGTCTGCATAAAATCAATATCAGTAGTAATAGTAGTATTGTGTAGTAGTATTTGAAGAAACACAATTTATTCATCGCATTTACTAAACTTCGTCGACCTTCTTTGCCCCATCGCGAACAGGGTTTATCAATTGAGCAGTACTTCAGCCCTCAGATCATTATCCTAATTGCATACGTTTACCGAACTTAAAATACATAAAGGTTTTTGATTGCTTGCGAAACGAGCAGCGAACGTTTAATGCCAAATATTTAGATAGCTGGCCAACAAATTTAGGTCAGCTGTCAGCTGTCAGCGTTGGCCAAAAACACTTTTCGGTCAGCCGTGAAATACCCAAAAAAAACCAAAATGCAATCAGCTGTCTATTCATTATGAGGCTAATTGCGAGTTGACCCAAAAACACAACAACAAAAAACAACGAAGAAGAGTGAAATGGATTAGCTAACAAGGCGCAAATGAGCTGCAACGTGCAACGTGTTACGTGCAACGTGCAACGCATGTAATGGACATCAAACTGTCACTTGACCCATAAACTCTACGCTGTTTGCCCTAATCCAGGATTAGCGTGTGAAGAAGCAGCAGCAGCAGCGAAATGCGAGTAGTTGCCACGTTCGTGTTGCTGCCACACTGTTGTTGTTGTTGCCCCGTTCTTGTGGTTGGTTGCTGCTGCTGACTTTACGACACTTTTTAGGTAATGAATGGGTTTACATTTTTTAATCCAGCTATAAAAAAAAAGTGCAACGAATGCGATAAAGCTGCGCGCGCTCATAAAAAAAGAGCGAACGGCAGCGTCTGACCTGACCCCTGACCCCTTTGCTCATGAATGGCCGACAGGAGCAGGTCAGCTGTGTTGAACTTGGCTATAAAAACAAACAGCGACGCCTCAAACGACAGCAAACGTAACTCAGCATTCCATTAGCCAAGATGTGCAATCAACAGAAGAAGATGAAGCAGCAGCAGAATCTATCAGTTAATACATCGGCAACCAGCTCGCCCCCCTCACCCACTGCTGCCTATGCGTTGTACTTGCACCGCGAGGAGTTGAGGTGCCACAAGGCGCAGTCGTCACGTGCCGCAATGACAAAGATACATTTGACCAGCGAATTGATTGCGAGAACCAAGGAGAACATCGGTAAATGCAGCCAGGAGGATCTACAGATATTGGCCAGAGAGACGATCTTCAAGAAGAGGATGCAACGCCATTTGCACTACAGACGCCAGCAGTTGCAGGCCTGGTTGTTGGCCAGAAAACAGGCCAAAATTGGCAAGCAAATGCAGTGAGAAAGAGAGAGAGAGCAAATAGTCCATTGTCAGAGGAGAACAGCCAAATGTGATGGGAGATGATGAGCAGTTGATGGATGGGAGAACAGCCGAAGTGATAAACTGGCCAGGAAACTATAAAAACTTCAAATATAATTGTATATAATATGCTTTAAATAATGATAATAAAGGTTGATATTACACTTTTTCAGTAAAGAATGCTGTTAACTGAAGATAAATAATCTGAGATAATGCCCAAGTGGCAAGAATAGAAAGAAAGGCATTTAGATAACTTGATAAAGAACTCAATTGAGAAATCTAAAGATGACTCTATAAAGAATCCTAAAGAGATCCCTATATAATATCGATGAAAAACTTTAAAGAGAAATCTAAGGAGAACTCGATAGAGAAATCTTAGGATAACTCTATTAGAAAGAACTAACGAACTATATATAGAAATCTAAGGATATCTCTTAGAGAAATCTAATATACAACACTACAGTCGAAAGTGTTCGACTAGGAAATTGCTTATACTATTTTAGTCTATATGAAAATTGATTTTGGTTAACAAAATCTGTGATTCTGATCCGATCTTCATGCAATATTTACAGTTGAACAATATTGTGACTGAGTATATTAAATATAAGTTAGAAGACTCTATCTTTACAAGTATCTTATCGGAAATCGATTTGTATCTTTGATCAACTCAGCTTTTACTTTATGGGGTCGGAGATTCTTCCTTCTACCTATTATATACTTGTACACAACTTCATTATACAATTTGTATCCATTTTCATCCAGGGTATATAGAGTCATTAATTGCTTATGCACTTTGTAGAGAAATAAAAATTCAAATCAATGCTAATAATTCTCTAATCTAGAATCAACTCCAAATATATTCACTTAACAGTAAAGGTTTCGATTGAAATAAGTCTGTTTTCCATTTGAGCAGTACTCGGAGTAAACTTCGATGATTATGTCAGATAAGCTTTAAATTGCAGGAACAGACAGTAATAGTTGCATGCAGCCGTCTCCAATTATGCAGCTGTACAAATGTTAACTGCTTGATACACACACACCATACACACACATAACACACACACACACATGCCTAATGCAAAGTACTATTATGCCCTAAGCATACAATTTCCCATTTAAATATTAGAATGTTTCCACTGCTCCACTGCAATAATAATGCATTCCACCGCGTCTCTCTGCCAGAGCCAGAGCCAGAGGACAGAAGGTTTCAGGCGGGGTGGTGTGGGGTGTATGGGGATTGGCGATTGGGGAGTGGGGTAAGGGCTGTGGTAAGGTAGGGCTACTCGCTCTTAACTGCTGGCGACCTATGCTCGTTGTTCGCTTCTCGGTTTTGCGTCGTAATAGTGTGAAAACAAATTTACACGTGATTACCAGCCGAGTTGCAACCAGCCAGCGTTTAATAAAACTCAAACAAAGTGGCGCGTTGCATAAATTTGAGCAAGGCGCAGCAGCAACAACTACAACAATAACTACAACATCTACAACATCAGCAGCAAGAAGAACAAGACGTGTGCCAACAGAGGGCAGAAAATGCTTCTCCCTTCGAATTGTTATACCCTCAACCCAGTGAAAATGGGTATAATAAAGTGTTATATATTATTGATGCGCATCAACAGTCGAGTCAATTTAACCTTGAACTTCTCCTTGTTCTTTCATTTTATCAATAACTGAGTCCGTTTTGGGACTATCGATACAAATCGATTAACGATAAAAACATGAATCATAATTATGAAGGTATAGACTTCTATTTGAGTATTAATATATAGTCAGACATAATCAACAGTAAAAACTACTAGCAATAATTTTCCAGCTGGCTGCTGAGTATCTGTTCGTCGAGCACTCTCGACTGTCCCGCTCTGACTTGTTTTGTTCTTTTTCTCTATCCTTTTTAGACTGCATAAATTTTAATTAAATGTCACTCATACGCCATGTATGCCAAGTACAATATGTGTGCGCAGCCTGAGTTGTTGCGTGTGTGCAATTGACTGTATGTGCGTATCTCTGTGTGTGTGTGTGTGTGTTCGTGCGACAAATGAATGTACACACACACACAGGCACACACTCGCACACTCAAGTGGCACGAATTACAGTTTATTGAACAGCAACAGCAGCCAACAGGACCAAAAAGGAAATAGCAAATAAAGCAAACTCAACTGGGAGCTGAAACAAAAGTTGTTTCCACTGTGCAGCATCGAGAAGCATTCAACTTATCAGGGAAAGCATATCTTGCAGATGGATTATCTGTTAAGAGCAGACTCTAAAAGTTATATTTTTCTACGAGAAACACAAAATATTCATGAATACAATCAAACATAAATGGAAAACAGATTGCTGACTGCTTGAAAAGGCTAGAAAGCATCAATTTTAAAAGAAGATTACCTCCAAATGGAAACGCTTTTAAATGGTTGGAAAGCTGACAGTTAAATTATGAAATTCAATAATTCTAGTAATACTATAATCGCAGTCTATTGATTTTTATGGCTCAGCGTCATAAGCTGCTCAAAAAATTCAACAAAAATCGAAGAGCAATAAAAAATAAAATAACAATTTCTATTTAAGCTGTTTTAATGCACTAAAAATAGTGATTACAGTTTTGCTCAAATTCCAACTAAATTCATTTAAAGTTTCATTTTAATTTTGTACAATTTAATTAAGCCACCAATTTGCCATCGAGTTTTTCTAACCAAAATTAAAGCAAAACAGATACAGAGAATATGAAAAATATATATAAGGAATAAAGTGTTTGTGGAGAATATAGAACAAACCCAATTGCTTTGGATGCATTCGGTTAGCATCAAATTTAGTCGACTATAAAAACTCGAGTTCTTTTGTTCCCTTTTTTCTGTTTCCCTTTGCAGAGGGTATTACAATTTTGTCGTAATGTTTAAAAAACATTCAAGGAGGCATCTATAAGAAAGAACTCAGTCTTTAAATTTATCGAAAATATAAGCAACTTGCAACGATTCTATAAAGACTATAATAATATAATATATCATTCATTATTATAACATACAGGTTTCAAAGAGAGATTTCTTTCATGTACCTTCTTGATGAGCATCCTTTCCTTTCTTCCTTCCTTTCCTTTTGCCTGTCTGTCTGTGTTTTTCTCGGCAAAACTTGGCAAATGATATCTATTCTACTCACTGTAGACAGAACTCGTGTAAGAACCGTATGAATCTATAATATATAGCTGCCATAGCCAAAAGATGAGTTGTTAGATGAAAGAGTTTTTTTTATAAAATTCCAGTGAAACTTGACCCTCCGTAAGGGTATTCCAAGCTCGGCTTAAGCTAGATTTTGTCTCCTCTTTTTTTGTGTTAGCTGGCAGTGTTTTTTATGCATTTTCATAAAAGTTTGGGGAGCATGTATTATTCATGTTTTACAACAATTGCAATTACAAGCGTCGCGTTGGTTTTGGCTTTGGTTTTGGTGTTGATGTTGGCTTCTGTGGGTGTCGTCCAGTCGAAGAAGTCGCAGCCACTTAATGAAAAGCCATCGAGGATGTCAACGAGAATGTTTCCCAGCTATTTCAAACTTGAAACTTTTTTAATAATTTTTTCGACGACGACTACTTGACAAATGAACTCAAGTGTGCAATGAAGTGTTTATTGTGAATAAAGTAAAAGTTTTTCCTACTGCCACGCCCCCCACACCTCGAGCCCCTCGCTTGTAGTGTGTGTAATCGTCACGCTGCCTTAAAGCAATTTGTTATTAATTTCCGTGTTGAAAAAGAAAGTTGATGTAAAAAAAACTTGGAACTTTTTCTTTTCTTGCTCGCTTTCTCTCTCTCTCTCTCTCTCTCTCTCTCTCTCTCTCTCACTTCCCGCTCACGCACTCTGGCTGTCTCGCTCTGCATTTAATGTGAAAAGTTATTGATGTTGTTGTTGCTGTTGTTATTGCTGTTGGCATATTAAAACATGACCCATAATGGTTAACAAAGCATTTTGCTTGTTGACCATCGTCAGCGATCCGTTGAGCAACAATGTAAAACATGTGTAATAAATACATTCAAGTGCCAAATGTGTTTCTCAGTTTGTGTTTGTATGTGTGTGTAAATGTGTTTCTGTGTATGTGGGTGTGTTTTGTGTATTTTTGCTGTCAGGTGGGTAATAAATTGCAATGCGAGGCTCGAACAGCAGCAGCAAGAACAACAAGAAGCAGAGCAGCAGTCAAGCAAATGATGACTTGCACAAAATATTTGAAATGCATACACAAAACACACTCACACCCTGTCCCCCGCCACACCTCATTCACGCAACACTTAGAGAAAAGTAATAGAAACTGAACTGTTTGCATAATAATTATGTAGTTTGTATATATATTATATATAATCATAGTAACTATAAATATAATGTGTACATAATGTAAACTTTTTAAATTCGCCATCTTAAGTAGCTTACATTCTGAAAAACTCATATTTTTCGCTCAGTGACGCGCTTTCTTTCGCTTTCTCTCTCTGCCCCGCGCTGTATGCAATGAAAAATGCGCTCAATGTTAATATGGCCTCCAAAAAGTAACAGCACACAAACATAAAAACAGAAACACACACATGCACATACACATGCACAGACTCGAAGCAGCATAGGAAGAAGAAGCAGAAGACAAGTGTAGCAATGTAATGGTGTGCGTGAAAGTGCAAGTTTTGCTGTTTGCCTTTTGTTGCGCTTTTCGCTGTTGTTGTTGCTGTTATAACCTTCAACGTAGAACAATCAAATCGAGCAAAAATGCAACTAAAATGAATTGAGTTGAAGCAGCACAGCAAACACTGAAACTATAAAACATTTTTCTGAAATTTCAAGGTCTTAAGTCAGTGAGAAATAAAAGTAGAGCAATTTTAGCATTTATTTAAAGGTTATGTTAGGTTCTTGGCATTTGCATATTTAAACGAAAATAATAATAAGTAAGTAGCGAAAAACTCTTTAACAGCATTTATCGCTTACTAATTATCGCTAGCTCTCAATAGCAGTTATTGCTACGATCATTTTAGCAGGCTTGTTAACCACATATTATACTGTCTGTTAACACAACATAACGTGCGCTCATCTGACTCTCTGTCTCTCGCTCCCACACACACACAAATATGCACACTCTTTCTAGCATTCAAATGTGCCAATTCACCACAGGTGTTGAAATGTGAGAACTTCTTGCATATCATTTCCCTGATGCCCCCTCCCAAACACACTAATGTATATGAAACATTCTGAGCAAAACTTTCGTATTGTTGTAATTATATATATTTAATATATATCTCTCTCTGGTCACACCTTCATTCTATACGCATTTCAAACAACTACAGCCAAATCGAATTAAACCCTAAAATATTTGATATCTAAATCCGCACAACCCAAAAAAACAAAACCATGTTCCCCTTTTTCCCCCTCCACCCACAACCAATCTATCGCAGCAGCCGCACAAAGGTAATTCCAGCAGAGAGCTTCCCTTTGATGTTAACAGCGTGAATGCCGCCGCAACGAGTGCGAATGAGAAGGCGCCCATAACATTTTCAGAATTCACCATGCGTCGAGCACAACGCCACCCACCACCACCAACGTCGCTGCCGCCAATTTATTTAGAGAATGCATTGCAGCAACGACAGTTTGCGAATCCAATTAGTTATTTGGGCGGACCGCGTCTGCAGCCGCGCAGCAATCGCAACAGCCTCGACTCCATATTATCGCTGGATTAGCCCCACTGCTGCAGACAAACTAACAGACAAGCAGCGAACACAACGAAAAAGCAAAAGCAACAAAGAAACAACAACAACAAGGCTAGTCACAAAATCTCATCATGTGCTCCCCCACCCCCCTGCCACTCCCTCTGCGACAAACTGAAGGTTGGAGGGATTTTGACTTCTGGATTCCGTCCCCAATTAATTTAGCTAGTTTATTTTTTGGAATTTAAGTTAGTTAATTGTTGAAACAAATTGTTACAAAAGTTCCTCACTGTAATAAATAAATTAAATTTGAAATGCTTGTCTATTAATCATAGAATTGGAGAAATTAATTAGCAGATAATGATCAAAATGAAGCTACGATTCCAAATAATATCGCCTACGATATACGATGTATGTAGAATGCAATGCTGGACTATATATAAAAAAAGAATCTGAACTGAAGCTGAATCCGTATGAAGAATTTAAGAAGATAGAAAACTGGACTTTTTATTTAGCATAATCAAAACCATATACAGGATAAATATCTGATGTTGGTGCTATATTTATAGCGTAGTAAATCCACAGAATTTATAAATATCGAAGACAGTATCTCGAAGGTAAGTAATAAAAGATATGCATTATTTTAATATTGGATCGATGGATTATCAGTGGATTTAGATAGATAGAAATCTACACTTCAAATTGAGAATCAAGAAAATCAATCCATGATATTATATGGGATAAATATCTGATGCTTACAATAATAAATTCACATGAAGTGTTTAAATAGATGGAAAACAATATTTCTTCAAATTTAGATATAATCAATGTTAAACTACAATTTTATGTAGGATGTGTGAATATCTGATGCTGAATCCACATGAAGAATTTAAGAAGATACAAAACTGGAATTAAATTAGAAAACCGAAAACCAAAGCTCAGCAATGATATTATATAGAATGCTGGACTGATATATATATATATATACATATATAATACAACTGAATTCACAAGTAAATAGTTTACATAGTTTACACCCCCACAACAAAGTTGAGTTGAGTTCAGTTTAAGTTATATTTATAAAGGTTTGTTGATTGATTACAAAATGGATCTCGCTTATATCTTATCTCGGTAAGTAACTGTATCTTTAGCTTTATCTTTATCTGTATCTGTATCTGTAAAATGTGTGTGTGGTTTAAATGTAGCTGTTTCTTTTAACTTTTTATCTTAGCTTAAACACGAACTTGCTTTACACTGAAATTAAATGTTTTCTCTTACAATAAAAGTGTATTTTAGTTTACAATGAGTTTCAGTTTTAATTTCCGATTGTGGAGCTGGTGTCCTCGATGAGGCTGCTGACTGCTTTTGTGTCATCCACTTGAAGCGGCGGATCAGTTGATGAAGTCTGGAAGAAAATTTTGTGGAAACTGCGCTGGGGACTCACGGAATTTAGCGGAATTTCCCGGGATTAGGTAAAATCGGGCGGTTTATATTTGGGCGGTCGCTTAATTGGCTTCTATAACCAATTGCGGCCGCCACGTCAAATGTTGTTCTCCTTGGCGCCCCCCTTAGTCGCGGAGGCGCCACCCGTTGTTGCCACACTCGCCGCATCGTTGTCGTTGTTGCCCTTGTTGCTGCCGCTGCTGTTGTTGCTATTGTTGCTGCTGCTATTGGCGTTGTTGTTGTTGCTGCTGCTGCCGCTGCCGGTGTTGCTGCTGCTGTTGTTGTTGCTGCCGCTGCCGCCGCCGCCTGCTGTGTTGTTTGTTGTCGCTACTGCAGTTGCCTCCTCGCCATCAACGGCCTCGACTGCAAAACAAACCATAAGTAGAGTATATATATTATATAGATATAAATGTCTGTTCAGCTCACCCTTCTCCTTCTCATCCTTGATATCGCTGGAGGCTTCCGAGGATGTTTTGTTGCTGGAATTGGTGATGATGGGCTCCTTGTCGAGTCGTGGCCGCTTCCTCTGTCCTTTGTAGTTCCGATTGTCCCGTCTGCCGCCCTCGCCCTCGTCCTCCGAGTCGGAATACTCGTTCTCGGGCACAATGCGCTTATCCTTGTCGCTCTGCGGCAGACGTTCGTCCTTGTCGACCTTCTCATCGTCGTCGGACTCATCGTTGATGGCATCCTCCGGTATAGCCGTAATCTGTACGCCCGGCGCATGTGGCAACATGCGCAGATTCTCAAAGAGACGACTCTTGATCTTCTCCAGATACTCAGACGTATTCTGATTCGTCATATTGCTTGGACTGATGTGCAGCTTGAAATCGGGGCCAAAATATTCGAAATAATCATTGTACGGCAACTCATTGGCTATTTCCACGGCGAGTGCAACAGAAGTCTCATAGGTCCAGCAGCGAGAGACATTGCGAATGGTGTAGCCACCGCCACCAACCATGAGGAAGGGCAGATTATATTTCTTTACGAACTCCACACACTTGCCATGCCCCTTCACCGTCAGATTGAAGCAGCCGAGCCGATCTCCTGTGAGGGAATCTGCCCCACACTGCAGCACAACGGCAGCTGGCTGAAAGGTCTCCATTACCTTCGAGATGATGGGCACAAAGATGCTCTCGTATGCCTCGTCATCCATGCCATCTCTGAGTGGAATATTGACAGCATAATATTTGCCTTTGCCAGCGCCAATGTCCCTCAAATCGCCAGTGCCCGGAAAATACTCGCCGTACTTGTGAAAACTGACAGTCATCACGCGATCTGTGGTATAAAATGCCTCCTCGACGCCATCGCCGTGATGCACATCGATGTCGATGTAGAGCACACGCTGATGATATTTCAACAGCTCCAAAATGCCCAAAACAATATCGTTAACATAGCAGAAACCGGATGCCTCCGATTTCTTGGCATGATGTAAGCCACCGCCCCAATTGATGCAGATCTCCGACGCCTGTTTGTTGAGCTTGACGGCAGCTGCCACAGATCCACCCGCAGACAGCTGGCAGAACTCGTAGAGTCCATCGAAGACGGGACAATCTTCGCCGACATTAAATCGCTGCATTTGTTTATTATATTCCGTCATATTATCGGGTCGAATGGAGCGCAAAAAGCGCACATATTCATCCGAATGGAATTTAGTCATCTCATCAGCTGTAGCCTTATGCGGGCGCTATTATAATTATAATAACAAAATTAATTAAAATTCAGTAATTCAATTAAATTCCCATTCAGACTTACGTAAATTTCCATTTTGCGATAGAGGCCGTAGTTGAGCAGCAGATTGTGTGTCATGCGTATGCGGTGCGGCTTCATCGGATGTCCCTGGCCATAATAATAATTGCCAATATCACCTATAAAACAGAAATATAAAATTAACTCATTTTTATAGGTGCACAAACAGCATGCTGTGCAAAATGAAAATTTTATGGCGAGAGTGGGCGAGGCGTCTGTTCGCACAGCGCACTTTGTCGCAAACGACCGCAGTGCGCACTTTCCCCATACGAAACAAAGACCCACAGGTACACACACACATGTATACACCAACACAGCACACAGAGTTGCATGCGTTGCGTTCGTATGGGAAAAGTGCGCTGTGCTCTAAAATGCTTGTACAGTCGCCGTATAATATGAAATTTGCACAAATGCTAACAAAAAATGCCGATTTGACAACGTAAACAACAATTGTGTGAGGCAATTAAATAATGCACAAATTCTGTATATTTTTGTGCAATTCAATTCTTTTAATTGTCAACTTACTGTCGTAATAATAGCAAACGCGCTTTTTGCTATGCGATTGCATTTTTCCCGGCTTTTTTTTTAGTTGTGTATTTTTATCGAGTTTATGTGTGTGCAAGCAAATCTTTTGCCGTTGCTTTCAGCAAACTATTAAGCAAATTTAAATCACCGCGTTTTTAATATATTCAAGTTAATAAGAGCAAAAAAAAACTCAACCGCGCACCGCAAGAAAATGTTGTGATATGGCATGACCAGGTGGCAACGACAGCCAGCTACAGCGTTACCACCCACACAGCACAGACTTGCCAGAGGGCGAAAATTACAACAGCAATCCCATGATATTTCTGCAATATTCTCGTTTATATTAAATAGAATAAAACATTTGTATTAAATATAATTAAAATAAATAGCAAGACATATATAAAAACAACTACGAAAACATTTTACTTACCATTTGCCAGACATTAGTATTATGCAGTAATATTTAGGTATAAATTAAAAAGTGCTCTGGCCACATATGTTTTGGTTGTTGTGTTCTCGCGAGAAAGAGAGAGTTTGAGTGAGTGAGAGAGGGGGAGCAAAAGACACTTTTAGTCGAAAAAAAACCGTTGAACGAGTTGTACGTGTTTTGCTTTGTCGGTCGGTCAGTCGGTATTTTTCCCCCGCTGAAAAATAAGAATTAAAACCCAAACTAAATTGATGAAATATTGTGCAATTGTAATGAAAAGTGCAAATTGTGTACTAATTTGAAGCGACGCGTAAGTTTTTATTGTGTTTTGTGTGAAGTTCAGTTTGTGGGTTTGCGTGTGTGTAGTGAAGTGTGTTTGTGTGCGTATGGGTGTGTGTGTGTGTGTGAAAGAGAAAGAAGTTTCCAAGCAAAAGCAACGGAGTTGCAGTGGAAACACAAACAGAGCAACAGCACTCACACCAATACATCGAGACACTCACACGCACATACACATGAACACGCCAGCGAAAAAAGAAGTGGGGAGAAAATAAAAAAATACAGAAATAAAGTGAAGTAACAAAAAAAAATTAATGTAGCTGCTGCTTCTACTATGTTGGGATTTAGTTCAAAGAGAAATTAAATGAATCTTAATAAATAAAATGAAAATACAAATATAAAAAAGATAAGCGCTTTGAAATATCCTGCGCAGTGTAAACGCCGCTTGACTCTTCCTCTTGCCAACTCCCTCTGTGCTTTGCGCTCTCTATATTTTTTTTACCGACTGCAGACGTCTCTGCTGCTGTTCCGCTGCCGCCCCCGCGACCAACGCCTTGCATTGAAAGTTTCTGTTACTTTTTTGTTGTTGCCATTCTACATTTCTTTGCTTTCTGCCTTTTTCAATGTGCCCGCAGGATATAATTTTTCCTCTCTGCCCACCTCGCGTGCGTGTTTAATTATAGTTTCAGCCATCTCACGTCCATCTCTCTCTCTCTCTCTCCCGTTCTGTCTTTTCTTTTCCAATTAGTGCAATTTGGGCAAAACTACCATTGTTGTTATTTATTTCTTTTGCATAGAAGAACGTGCAGCAAAGCGAACAAAAACAAAAACAGCGAGTGCGTTTTTTTAAGTAGCCGTAACTATAAACGCGGCTAAGCCGCAGCCAGTAAAGTACGAACAGCTAGCGAGAAGCAGCCAAAAAAGTTGATTATTCCGTCTAATTAAAAAAAGGTAAGTGTTTAACACGCTTTAGTTTATTTTTTACTTGAAAACTTGTTCCGACTCCTTTTTACATACCTTCATCCGTTTATCTGCTGAGTGTGGCCAACGCATCGTTCGTAAAGTGGCACAGAAATGCATCACTGCAAAGTGCCGTTACAAAAGCCAATGAACGCAGCAGCCAAATAAAGTAAACATAAAAATATCAAGCAGAATACAACAAGCAGATGTAAAAGAAGAAGCATAATAAACTAGTGTAAATTCTCCCGCTGCACATTTTCTATTTGCGCCGCTGCTGCTGATAAAAAGCAAATTCATTTTTATTGCTGCTGCGTTTTAAAAAGTCAAAGAGCATTTTTGTTGTTGTTGCGGCTGCTGCTGCTTGTAATTGTCTGTAATTTAAGTTGAGGACCAAAACCAAAAGCAAAGGCAAATCAAAACCAGTCGAGCAACCAGCTGTCGTCGTCTGCGCATCGCACTACGTAAGCGAGAAAGAGAAGGCGCATGCAGAATGCAGCTGCAGTTGCGCTCCCTATCTCTCTCTCTCTCTCTCCCTCTCTCTCTCTGACTCTCTTCTCTCTCTCTTTGCTCTTGTTGTGCTTATGCTTTATGTTGCTTATTTGTTGTTCTATTTTTGGGCTTTCGCTTTGCCGCATTTTATTTATTTACCTTTTGCCGTTTGGCCTGTTTATTATCCCAGCGCGCAGCATCGTCGCCGTTTGAAGTTCAAGCCACACAATTGCCGTTAATTCTTCTTTTGCTATATACCCTGTAATAGTTAAATGTGATCAGAAAGGTGTCAGTTTTCCTGTGGAAATACGAGTATATATATATTAATAATAATATACATATGTACATATGTATACAAAATATTTGAAAGTAATTTAGTGGGTATATATAAAAAAATAAAAATTCATATTGCAGGGTATTTACTTGTTGATCACTCTACACAAGAGCAGCATAACTTGATTTATTTTGTTTGCCATATCTGCTTATCTGCGCTTGTAGTACTGAAGTTATGTACACTTCCATTTCCTTCCCTTTCTCCTCTGTCCCTTACAACCATCTAACCCGTCATCAGAACGAATAAAAATTTTCATTAACACGTTCTACGACCCGATGACAACTTCGAAGTTTGTTGTTATTGCTGCTCCTCTTCATTTTGTTGTTGTTTTTTGATGTTTGTCTGTACCTATCTTCTGTTCTTATCGGCGGCACTTTTGAGGTTGGCTTCTGATACAGCAACCAGAAATATAAACTCGCATCTAGTTGACTCCCCTCCCCCCCCCTCCCCTATCTATTTTCACAGTTCTTTAACTCTCTCCCCTTGAACTCTTTTTCATTCAGAGTTCATTTTGAGTGGCGCACTTTGCAATTATAATGCCTTTTTGGCTTCGCTCGCAAATCATTGCGAAATGACCAAACGGTAAATCTGCTTAGCTCTCCTCACAGACTCGGACTAACGGCAAACTTCTGCCGCTTCTTTTATGTGCATTTTACAAAGCGCTTACGATTCGACGACCACACACAAAAGCCGAATGGCCAAATTACAAAAAAAAAAAAAAATTGCTAAATAGTGAAAAAGTAGCCGACAAGGAGAAATTTCAATTGTGCTTTGTGCTTTATTTCTTCTTTTATTACATTTTTTTTTTTCTTCTTTTTATCTCGCCCACTTACAACACACAATGAAAACGAGCATCGGCAAAAGCAGCGTCTTTTATTGATAAGAAAATTGAAAGTGTGTAGCAAGTGTGAATAGTTGTGGGAAGTTGTGGAGGGCATGAAGGAGAGAGAGAGATGAACACGTTTGTCGTGAGAAAAATGTCAAAACTATCGATAGAATCGATTCTCTGTGTGATTCAACGTTTTTAAGTTAAACGATTGTTTGCTTGAGAGCCAAAAAAAATAATTCATTTTATCTCCTCTACGGCTTTATAAGTACAATTGACGATTAAAATAATTGTTCTCTCATAATTTACTATTTCCATTTCGATACACTTGCCGCTTTCATGTGGTCTTATGGTGGCTTATCGATAACCGTCGCCAAACCTTATAAATTTTCATAGAATCCATGCAGATTAACAGCGTGTGGGTTTTATTTTTGCAACTATATATATTAAAAATAAATGCTAAATTGTATTCAAGCTGATGGCAGCCATATTGTTAAAATTCTTGCTTTTTATATTGGCAACGCTGCAGAAGAAGTGCTATTACGGTAAATACTCATTCAACTTCAACTTTTTCTGCTTCTTACTTCCCATTGTCAATTTAGCTGCACACAATTGACACAGTTCAGAGATGGCGCAGCAGGGGAGAAGAGATAGAGAGAGGGGGTGGGAGGTGGCTAATGGACGTTTTATAGTTGACGCTGCAGTTGACCCACGTCTGCCACACCCACTTGGCCACGAGACATGGGCGAACGGGCATTCAAAAGTTTCTCTGCTTTTTTTTGTTTGTTGTGCTTTAGGGCAATTTCAAGTTTTTTTGGCACGCTTGACAGGTGGCAGGTAGCAGCAGCAACATATAAGAGCAACAAAAACTGCGACACGGGAAAAAAGTTCTACTTGTCTATTAGAGATCATTTTCATTTCGATTATTTTACGGAAAAAGCTGTTGCAGCAAAGTTCTCTCTAATTTATGTCACTACGCAAAGTTTGCAGTCGCATTTAATGGACTGTTGCCAAGGGGGGACTTGGGTATGGTGGTACTTCTCATTTGACCGGTTAACCCATAAGCTACCTTCTCGCGCCAGGTCAATTAGATTTATGGCGATTGGGACAGGTCAAGCAGCAGGATATGCTCCAAAAAAAAACGAACACGTGCAAAAATCATTACTGGGTTTTTTTTTAAATTTGTTTTGCATTGTTTGCTGTTACAGTTACTGCTTCTACCCCGTCCCCCAACAACACCCAGCCCCTCCTCTTACCGGCACTTCAGGCGCACATCCGGCTTGGTCCAAACAAAACATTGCTAGGTGGTTGTTTCGCACTCGCTGAAAGCTGCGGCAACGTTTTCCGGTTTGCCCCTACTCCTCCCAACCCCCTTCTCCACACCTTGGCCTGTACACACATTCCAGGCCAGGTCTTTCTACTCCTGGCTCAGAGTCGCACGGGCGCACACACACTTCCGGGCCGACGTCGAGCAACAACTCTCCATGTGCCAAGTGTGTGTGTGCGTGTGTGCTTCGCTATGGTGGTTGCTGGCTACTGGCTAGTTTTCGATTTTATTGATTTTCATTCAAAGCTCGGCCAAAAAGTTTGCGCCTACACTTGGAAAAACGAAGAATTTAAATGTAGAAAATAATCGCCATCAATGTAAATCTAAACCTTCTTTAAGTGAAGATCCACCAAAAATAAAAATTGGCCTAAAGCGAAAATCTCTGCCTAAAATGAAAGTCGTCCTAAAAAATGATCTTTAAATATTTCTAAACGAGCAGAGATAAACACTTTTTTTTTAAATATGACCTCTCTTCTTGTAAACATACTTTCTGGATGATAAGTTTAGCGGGACTCTCACAATGTCAGTGCGTTTTTTCTATCAGTGTACGATATACTCCCAATTAATTGGACGCAGCTGTAGATGTAAAAATTTCAACCATTTGCATTTGGCTTGTATTTCACTTGCAGCCTAATCTCCCTGTGTGTCTTTGTGTGGCATGCAGCAGACGCAGCAGTTGCAACTTGCAACTAACTGTATCAATTTGTGGCTTCAATTTTGAAATATGTTTGCACTAATTGGCAAAGCATTGAAAATGCTTCCTATTCAGCTGCACTTTTTTTTTGTTTGTGGCGATGAAAGGGCAAACTGAAATTTATCTTTTTGGATTTCTTTCATTCTCATTCTCTATATTTTGGTTTTTGGTATGCCTTAAAAAGATTTTCAGATTTGTAACTTGTCGATTTATAAACAACTCTTAAACTAAAGCCTCATTTATATGGAACTTAAGTCTTCTAAGAGTGATAATTAATGCAATTATTCTTGTTAAGTTCAAATGCAGTGCCCTCCACGTCCCTGTCCCTTGTCTTAAGTACTTGGTGATATGACCCACTTTTTGGGGGTAGAAAAGAAGACTAGACTTAAAGTTGACCATAAAACGGCATCTGCTCTGATTTGAGGGAAAACTTTTTAATTACAGGGTTCAGCAATAGCGCCCTAAAAGTTTATTATGCGAAAAGTCTTCCAAGCGCTTTTTTTTATATCACAAAAAACAAGCACAGCAAAAAACTAATAAACTCAACTTGTAGTCAAACTATCTAATAAAAAGAAATTCCCCCCAAAAAAGTATGTATTTATGGACCCAAATCCAGTTGAAGTTAAAGCCCAAAAAGTTGGTGCTTTTAATATACCCGAAATCGCAGCTAAACAATAAATTGACTGCGATTCGAGGCGAGAGTCGTGTGTGGCATGCGGCAATATTGTTGTTGCATACACAACCCAATAACAGTGGGTGGGAAAAGTATGCGAACGGAGCCTTGCATGTGACACTCAAAATTGCAAATCGATTCAATATTATGCCTGCTACTCTCTCTCTCTTATTCACACTCTTTCTCTCTCTCGCTCTGCTGCATCTGTTTGTGTAAGGCTAATATTAAAATGGCATTTTTGGGGTACATTGAACCCAGCAGAAAAGCAGCAGAGGACAAGGTGTGAATTCGCCTGGCAGCATTTTCCCACTTGCAGTCAGTCAGGGCAGAATAAACATAAACATAAACACAACCAACTGGAGCACAAACAAAAGGAAGAAGAAAATTAGATTTTTATTTAAAGATGAAGAAGAAGAGCTATCTATCTGAAGCAGTTGATAAAGAAGAAAGATATATCTAGAGAACAAAGAAGATGATGAAGAAGAACTATCGTATTGGATAGAATATGATAAAGAATAAGAAGACCTATCAAATAGAGGAATATGGTGAAGAAGACTAAGAAAAGCTATCTATCTAGAGCTATCTAGCTACCTAATAGTCTCATTCCACGCTATGCCCAACATTTCTTATATCCATTATGAGTCTGCG